TCAGGCTGGCCTTGAGCTCACTTTGTAGCCTAAGCTGGTCTCGAACTTTCAAGGATCCTCCTGCCTGGGCCTCCAGAGTGCTGGGACTACAGGGGTGCACCACCACACCCAGCTTGGCCCTCTGAATTTAATCCCCAAATTTCTCATGTGTTTTTCAATGCAGTCTGGCTCCAACACAGCTGTTTAACGTACTGAAATACCTGGCCCAGAGGTGGCTACAACACTTTCATAAAATGGCTTAAAACTGGTACAGGTGGCACTTAGAATGTAGACTAAAAGAAAACAACACCTCTAAACTCTTAACTTTCAAAGGCAATTATCTATTGATTGTAGTGAGAGTCTGAGATCAACAGTATTTTTCTAAATTCTGAGCTCTTGAATAAAACATATCCATCCCACATGCACAAAGGGGCACAATCAAATCCAGCCTCTCTGTTGATCATTAAAAATGTCAGAGGCTGTGTTATACGTGAACACGACTCATCTACGTAATTATGGTGATGCAGATTGTGGCATGAAAAACAAGCACGCTTAGCAAACTGAAACAGTGCCTTCTCTCTCTTTTTTTACAAAGCCAACAAAACTTTAAGCAGTGGTTTACTTCTTTTTAATTACCACCTTCCTGCCTGGGTCAGGCACAGAAAAAAGCTCTTTCTGAAAAGGCATAAAACGCTGACTGCCCAGAAGAAAGTGATCCACGGTAAGTAGAACAGCAGCCGCTATCTCACGACCCGCACAAAGCCGATTCACAGAGCGAGCCCCGGTTCTGCCACATGACTGGGATAAAGTAGGACAGAACAGACAGAGTGACCTTTGCAAGGACAGACAGCTTAACAATACCGTGGGAATGCCTTCAGCGGAGAAGGCGCCGGGTACCAGGCCAGACACAGTATACACTGTCCTGAAACAGTAAGGAATAGCACATTTCAGATTTCAGAAGGGGACACAGAAAGGGCAAGATGTGATATTAATGAACTCTTTGAATTATTTCTCTAGAGAAATCACAGATTTCTAATTATTCTGATTTTTAGGGTGAAAGGAAGGGGATTTAAAAGAACCTCAACACCTCTAAGGGTGAGACCAGTGGTGCCCTTAGAGCAGAGTGTAATTAATGTACCCTTGCTGCATTAATGTGTGTGTGTGTGTGTGTGTGTGTGTGTGTAGGGCTACTGAGGATTAAACCCAGGGCCTCTGCACTGAGCTACACCACCATCCTTTTTAAATTTTTAGACAGTCTTACTAAGTCACTAAATTGATCAGACTGAGCTCCAACCTGTGATTCTCCTGCCTCAGCCTCCCAGAGCATTGGGATTAGAGCCTTTACATACCATGGCTGGCTTTCCTTTTCTTTTTTGATAGAGTTCATAAATAAGCACTGATGATTTTAGACCCATGGTCATGGCTATAAAGTAATATTCAGGACACCTTTTCTAGAGAAGGGAATTGCAAACAAGCAGTTCCTCCTAAACTTCCCACCAGCACCTACAGAATAAGGTCTGCCTTCGTCTAGAACTCAGGGTTCTTCAGTCTCCTGCCCATTGGACTTTCCAACTTGTTGCCGTTACGCTCCTGCTTCTTCCACAGCAAGAGCCCATGAGCCCTGCAGCATTTTACCCTTGTTCATGCAGCGCTCTCTGCCTGCGGCGGTCTGGACCCTGTCCGAGGGTCGTTCAAGGCTCTGTGGGTAAAGGCCTGGCTCCTGGCAGCAGCAGGGGTAGGAGGCCAGGGAACACTCATGAGGAGTAACTGCTCTGCACCTCTCTCTCTGGTTGCCCGCCTGCGATGCTCACTCGCTCCTGCACACACTCTTGGCACTGCCGTCCACCAGATGACACGGCCAAAGGGGACCTTGCCAGACCTGTGCAGTGCTCTTTGGACTTTCAGCCCCCAAACTGCGAGCTAGACGAACCTCTTTTCTTAGTGAGTAGTCTGCATAGACATTTCATTGTAATTCTGAGAAGTGACGAATGCACTGCTGCTACTCCTCTACCTCTGTGATTCCCCACAATTCTAAGAAATCTTCCACGGCCTCCTCCCACAGCGTGACCTTTCCAACCACGTGGTGCCCACCTCGTGTCCTGCCCTCAGTTCCTCTGACGGCCTCCTTTTCCTTCACGGTACTGGGAGCTCCTCCAAACAGTGCCAAGCACTGTGACGACAATCTGGCCCCCCGTGGAAGTGAATGCTGGGTGGAAAGCTGGAACCCTTGTCCTCCACTAGACGGACCACGCAGGCCCCAAGCACCTTTCCAAATGTACGGTGCAGACGACCCGACCCAGCGTTGGACATAACGAGGCCAAGCTCGTGGGCTCTGCAAGGACCGTGAGAGAACACACGGGCCACAGCCAGCACCGTGTTTGGCACACAGTAGTTTTAAACAGTGCTAACTGTTATTAGCAACAGCTACTTAAAAGTCTAACACTTTCTAGGAAAAAGTGCAAAAGCAGAAATCAGAACATGCGAATTTGCGTCTGCCTCGGGAAAGCAGCTCTCCCACATGTCCTGTTATGTCGTCAAGCAAACGCGGGTCCCGATGGTTCTCTGTCACGCGGCACCTCCCAAAAGGGCACCACTGGTCTCCAGGTCGAACCACGAAGAGAACCCCCAGCACAGAAGCTGCTGACACGTCTGTGCCGTGACCGCCCCTCACGGTAGAAAGCCTTCACCGGAGCAACAGCCAACCTCGTCCACTCTGCACCTAGGCAAGGTGGTACTGGGACCTGACGCTGCCGCGAAAGGATGTTTCTTTCCAAGATCCGGGACATAAAATTGCTGACCTTGTATTAACTGATTTGACAACTATTGAATGGAAACACTTAATATTTGTTGATTATTTAAAAAAACTAATTTTTTAGACACTGCTCTAGAAACGTAGCATCCAGTGGCTTCCATCTGCTCAGTCTGAACTGTCCTACTTCGCACTGCCTTGCCTGAAGTTACTGAGACCCAGGGCTTGCTGTGAATGAACTGTGGGCCACACGATTAGAAGGGCCAAAGGGAGTAACACACTAGATAGAAACGTTCTCCTTTAGTGTCACCAAACATCTGCAATCCCCTCTTGACAAGTTAACCTACCAAAGCCTCCTCAGAAGCTACCTGGTTAAGAAGGGCAAAGTGTCTTTTCGATACTTTCTTCAGAAGACAGCAACTGGAAGGTAATAAAATAGAGTTTCCACAGACTTCTCATTCAGACTGAATACATGACTGCCTACGATTTTTTCCTAAAACTGAACTAAACAGGTTCATTTAAAAAATATGAGGACTGGGTGTGGTGGTGCACACCTGTGATTCTGGCATTCTTGGAGGCTGAGACAGGAAGGTGCCGAGTTCAAGCTGAGCCTAGGCAACTCAGCAACTTAGTGAGACCGTGTCTCTAAATAAAAAGGGATGAGGATGCAGTTCAGTGCAAATCCCTGGGTTCAATTCCAAGAATCACACACACAAAAATTAATAAATAAAAATAAACAAAAGACATTATGTGTTACCTCATTAATACGTACTTTTTTAATTTTTATGTATACATTAAAAATAAAATTCCCAATGTTTAAAATATATTCCAAATGGATTTGGATATAAATGTAAAAAGCAAAACTACTAAAGGAATAATATATATGACTTCACAGACGTATAAAGACTATTCCACTAGTGTATCAGATACACAAAACCAAAATTACATAGTTCCAACTTTTAAGTCATGAGATCAGCAATTTTTATTTTCTAAGATTAGTCTGGTTTATGTTACTAAAAAACAAAGTTACAGAAAGTCACAGTATCATCTATTTATAACCTCGTGGTTATCAACTGTCTTACTATTGTGTTTTATACATAGATATCTTCCAATCTAAAATAATAGGAAGACTGGTCAAACTGTTATTACTGATGACTAAATAATAACAGGAATAAGATGTCTTACATCAATTTTTCCTCACTTATATAATTAAAAGGCTCATATAGGGTATAACACAAAGCACTAATACTTACTAACAGTTTATAATATAAAATGTTTATGCCTTGTGTTAATAAAAAGGTAGCATTACAATTTTTTTGCTTAAAAGAAGACAAGAGATGCCCAATAAAGTCTGGCCGGAAGGAAACAAAAGCTTAGTATGATTATTTATGTATGACTGACAAAATGTGAAGATTTTTTTCCTTTGCTTTTTAAAAATTTTTTTCTACAGAGACAGAGAGAAGTATTTATCTCAAACTGGAAAAAATAATAAGCTTAAAAGAGATCCTAATGATTTCATTTTTTTTGAGATCCTAATGATTTTTTTAAAAAGAAAACAGTATTTAAGGGACTGGGATTTTAGTACATAATATATAAAAAAATTACTTTTCTTCTAGCCATCCAAAATCTTTTTATAGACTAGTCTGCACAGACAGCCTCATCTAAGGAGCCTATGACTACACCAAAATATGACCAGGTTTTAGTCTCACAGAAATGCATAGGACAGAAAGCACCGGCTATGCTTAGCACTGTGCTGATAAATATCATGAGGTGATAAGAAGGAACGCGAGAACACAGCAGACCTTCCCTGACAGGGCTTGAAGGTGCTTTCTGTTTGAAGTGTTGAAGACTGAACCCAGGGCCTCACACACTCTAGGCAAGTGCTCTACCATTGCACTATGTCCTCAGCCCCTTTAAATTTTATTTTGAGATAGGATCTCCCTCAATTCCCGAGGTAGTTTCAAACTTGTGATCCTCCTGCCTCAGCCTTCCAAGTTGCTAGGATTAAAGGCATGTGACACCAGGCCTTGTTACTGGAAATGCTTAGGACCAGAAGTACCTTGGATTTTGATTTTTTTTTTTTTTTGGATGGGAAATCAAACTCATGACCTCAGGCTTGCCAGGCAAACACTTATGCTGCTGAGCTATATCCCCGGCCTGAATTTTGATGTTTTTAAGATTTTGGAATACTTGCGCATACATAACGTGAAGTTATCTAAATGTGAAGTTCATTTATGTTTCACATACACCTTATGCATACAACTTGAAGGTAAATTTACACAGCTTTTTAGTGCACTTAGTTTTGACTAAGACTTATCACATCAGGGCAGGCCCTGAATTTTCCACTTGTGTATCACGTGAATGTGCAAAAGTTTCAGATTTGGGGGAATTTCAGATTTCCAGATTAGAGATGCACCACCTGTACTAGTATTTTAAGCTCGGAGACATCTGTTAAAACGCCCAAGACCTGCATGATTTGATCATTACAGGCACACTGCAGACAATATATGATCGGTCTGGAGAGGAGAAAGGGCACAACTGACTGCACTTCTGTAACGAAGGAAGCTCGTCCCGGGGCCGGAAGCTGACCTCAGAGAGGACAGGAGGGTCACGTGTGAACACAGGCTGCGGGGACAGGGAGCAAATCACAGCACGTCTGGTCTGCTGTGCTAAAAATACCGAGGCTTGCCGCTCCAGTTATTTTCCCTTATGGAGACTAATAACGAAGCAGCTGACTTATTTACAACTTCACTATTTTAGGTCGCAAATGAAAATTTATCAATGTGAAATCACAAGATTTTCTTCCCATCTTGCTTGAAAACAGCAAAAGCTTCCCTGCAAGGACATAACTTGATCTGAACAAACAGCTGGTAAACTTCTTCCAAAGGGTTAACAGAAACAGTGATTTGAGATGTATCACAGCAGCATTTTTTACCAAAGAACAACTGAAGAAAAACAGATTATACACATGACTTAAAAAACATCTACCTTAAAGGAAGTTATTTCATATACGGACTTTGTAGAAACTGATTTAAATATAAAAGTTGTAAGAAGTAATAGGATGGACCAGGTATTTCATGGCTTATAAAATAGACAAAAATATCTGAATGGAGAGAAACCCAAATGCAAAGTGTTGGGAAAACTGAAAAGTGCATGAATTAATACAGAGCTAAGCAGGTTTAATATGATAAAATAATGACATAATAAATAATAATAATAATAATAATATCAACAATATGTTTCTACTCTAGTTGTCAAAACACTCAAAACAGCATAAAGAAAAGAAAATCAAGCCAGGCATGGTGACACACCCCTGTAATCCTAGCATTCAGAAGGCTGAGGCAGGAGGATCTTTGCAAGTTTGAGACCAGCCTGGGCTACAAAGTGAGCTTGAGCCCAGCCTGAACTGCATAGTGAGACTCTGTCACAAAAAGACAAAAAAAGAAAAAAAAGAAAAGAAAATCAACGGCCAGTGTTTAGTCAGATCTCATTTCCTCTCTGTGTAAAGCTTAAATGTAAGCAAACCTCCTTTTTCTTCCTTACCTCCTACTTTATCTAATTCTAAAAAACACATCTTTGTTTTTAGAGTTAATTCCCAAGTCAATTCTCATCAGTACCTCCCTTAATATAAACAGGTACTTCCAGCAAATGGCTGGAATTCCACGCCCGGGAAACAGGGAATCTGAGTGGCAAACCAAGAGAAAAAGCGAGGATCACATAAAGCAGCTCTGTTTTTCCTTGGCTATTTTAAGACCGCAGAACAGTGGTGCCTACTCAGAGGCTGAGGAAAAACAAAACTTTTCATGAACTCTAATTGCGAGCATGTGACCAGCGCTCACGTGCCAAGACCTGGGTGTCTCCCACATGCCTGCACCGTCACATGGACCGCGTGCGCCGTTGCCGGACACCGCCTGTGGCGGGGTCTGAGCCGCACTGTTCCTTCTCCCTGCCCCGCACCTTCTGCTCGCAGCTCGGACAGGAGCACACTCTTTCTTCCTCATCCTCTCTGCTCTGCAGCAGCCACACCCCACTCTCCACGTGCTGCCAAACAGGTTTCGACACAAAAGTCCTCTCTGGGTTTTAACAGCTGGGAGGGGAGGTGGGCAAAGTCCCCCATCACACAGGGATAGGTGCTGTCGTATTTAGTGACACCCGGAACAGAGATGGCCAGGGAGCAGTGACCGGCAAGTATGGTCTAAATGTGCCTTGAATAGGAGGACTCATAAGCAAATCCACACTCCTTCACTGGGCAACAATCACAGCCTCATGTATGACACACATTTCTAAAAAGTGTGTATTTGCAAATATTTTAAGCAGTGGTGATCGTGACAATCTCCTTTTACAAAAGACTGATCAAGTATATCCTTATTTTCTTTAGATTTAATTCTCTTAAATCACTAACTTGAAAACAGTGAACAACTTTTACATGTCAGTAAAGATTTAAAACACAGACAGTAGAAGGAGATTTATGATACCATACATTCTCCACCACTAGGCAATAGGTGAATATATTTTTTACAATTATGCCACGTACATTAAATAATGCTGGGAAAAGAATACACGTTTCATACAGAAACGAACATAAACACCAGATTAAAGTTTATAAAGTACTGAAGCTTATAAATCTAGACATGTCCTCTTGAGAATTTAAAAATCACGGTAGCAGTGAAGCTAGTTTTTAGTGAAAGCTCACTGTATGCCAGGCACTGCTGGAGGCACTTTCCAAGGCCCATAAAATAACCAGTATCGGTGTGAAAAGAAATTTCCTACATGTTATGTGCCTGTGATATCGGTTTTTCATATGCTTATTCCACAAATACTTACACGGTACGGCACTACAGGTAAGAAAAAGGTCATCTCAAGCAGTTTGGGGACAACTGAAGTCGCTTGAATGGGGAGCACCCCCCAAACTCTTGGAGCTAAATCAGCCCTTTTCAGCACTAAGTCCAGCTTCTTCAAGGCTGCTCCAGGAGGGACTGCGCCAGTTCGTTATGTGAGCAAACTACAGCCTCTAGTGGCACAGGTGAGAAACAAGACAATCCAAAGAACCAAACAGCTTTCGAAACTGCCTGAAAAAATGACTTGACTCTCTGCCCTGATCTACACCCTCACTGCTTATTTATTAAAATCCTGGAATGACTCTTTGATTCATGAGAATTCTAACAGGAAATACAAGGGAATAAAAATAATCACTTCTAAAACAAAAGCTTCTGAAACAGTTCCCATCTCCACTGAGGTAAGAGATCCCTGTAAATAAGGTAACTAGAAAATAAGATGCTCATGATTTCTACAGTCTTTAATGTTCCACAATACTTTTATTTTAATTAATTAATTAATTTTTGAGTACTGGGGATTAAACTTAGGGCTTTCATACTGAGTTACCTTGCCATCCTTTAAAAAAGTTTTTTTTACATTTTGAGACAGGGTCTCAAGTCATTAAACTACCCAGGCTGGGCTCAAACTTGTGATCCTTGTGCCTCAGCCTCCCAAGAGTGCTAGGATCACAGGTGTGTGTCACCATATAAAAGTTTTTAGTTTTTGCAGTGATACAGATTGATCCTAAACCCGGTGCATTCTGGGCCGGAGCTCTACCACTGAGTCACATTCCTCCCCAGCTTTTTCAAACAGACATTACAGGTATCCTCTCCACAACGTGCAACTGTGAGGAAACCCTGGTTTAAGTCATGGAACAAGGTCAGGCCTTCCGAAGGCCTCTTCTAATCAGGGCAGCACAAAGAACAAAACAGTGAATATGATTCTGATTAGGTACATTAATAGAGACACAATTCTAGTTTAAAATACTTTTTTACAGAAAGTAAGTCCAAAATGTAAGGTGAAGCTCTAACAATTACACTAACCTCTTTTTATTACCCATATTCATCATACAAACCAGCTTTCATAAAGGAAAACTTAAACTGCAAGCAGAACAAATTTACTATCAAAGATCCCCTACCTTTTCCTATCTTCCCTAGCTATTGCAGTTAATTTTTTAAACTCTCAAGAATTACACGTCATTATTTTGGAATGCTACTGGTCCAAAATGAATGTAAAGACACAATATCCAATCGCAGAGTAATTTACAATTACATTCAAATGAGATTCCAGAAAAGCTGAGTTCCAGACCAGCTCCACACTCCACACAAACGCCAGGGGTACTTTCGGTCTACCATTCCGTTCACAGGCTCTGGGCTAGCTACTAAGTTCTGTAAATGTCCTTTCATTCAAGATACCACAAAAAGCCCTGTTAGAAAAACATACATACAGCAACCCTCAGCTTTTGGGGGCCCTAGCAAAGGAAAGGGAGGCAGAATCGGGGCTCAGGCCGACGGGATTACCTGTGTCCTCGAATGTCCGACTGGTCGCAGACGCCCCCAAGCGCAATCCTGTGGAACTCTCGGCCTAGCGTCTTGGCCACTGACCTCCCCACGCTGGTTTTTCCAACTCCAGGAGGGCCGACAAAGCAGAGAATGGGGCCTTTCAGGTTGTTTTTCAGCTGTCTCACTGCCAAGTACTCCAGAACCCTTTTCTTCAGTTTTTCCATGGCGTAATGGTCATTATCCAAGAGAACCCGGGCTGCGCGAATGTCCAGGCGGTCTGTCAAACAACCAGACAGAAATCATTTGAGTGTGTAGATTTTTCTTCAGTACTGGAGATTAAACCTAGGGCCTCGTGTGTGCCAGGCAAATGCTCTGTCCTGAACTATACCCTTCGCCGGGGATATAGCTCAGTGGCACAATGCCTGCCCAGCAAGTGCAAAGTCGCGAGTTCAATTCCTGGTTCCAAAAAAAAAAAAAAAGAATTATACCCTTAGGCCTTTCTAATTTTATCCTCAGGCAGGGTCTAAGTCTGCCCAGGCCAGCTTCAAACTTGTGATCCTACCGTATCAGCCATGCGTAGATGGGATTACAGGCATGTGATAAAGAGCCCAGTGAGCACACGCACTTTTTAAGTGAAAAGGCTCTTTTCCAGCTTGGCAGGACCCAAAGTATTTTTTAGGAAAAAAAAAAAAAGATGTGATAAGAACACATGTGGATCCTTCTAAGCCTTGAAGGAGACTTGCACTAGATTTGGTTTCCTGCCTAAGGCTTAGTGTATCCAGAGGCAGGAGGCCCTGCACAAAGCTCATGCCTTTCATCTCCAGTAACTCTGCAGATATACATTACTTCTTACACAGACACAAGTTTGATATAGTCAGCCGGGCGTGGTGGCGCACGCCTGTAATCCCAGCACTCGGGAGGCTGAGGCAGGAGGATTGTTGCGAGTTTGAGATCAGCCTACGCTACATAAGTGAGCTCAAGGCCAGCCTGAACTGCATAGCGAGACCCTGTCTCAAAAAGAATCACCCCCCCAAAAAAAGTCAAGATAGTCTATTTATGCTAGCACTTATCCCTTTAAAATGGTGTTTTTTCTTCCCTGTACAATAATAATATATGGTCATCCCAGAAAACCTGGTAACACTAATAAAAAAGAAAACAGTCACCTGTAAGCTCAGTCACCCAAGAGATCATCACTACCTCCATTTTGATATGTGATTCCAGGCTGTGAGTATGTGCTCAAACATCTATTTCTCAAAATGGAGTTTCGTGGGGACTTCTAGAAAATATTTTTTCACTTAATTTATCTGGCAACTTTCACTGTCACATGTATTTTTCAGTAACATTATAGCTATTTATTATTTAATTATCCATATTCATTTAATGCCTTATGCTGAACATTTAAGTTTACAAAGTTTTGGCTATAAAGAACACTTGACACTGTGCATCCTTGTAACTAAATTTCCACATATATCTGTAATTATTTCCTTCACCTAATCTTTTATAAATGAAAACACTAGGTTAAAAAAAAAGACATCATAGAGAATCACCTAATTGCCGTCCAGGAAAGCTGTATCCACAAAAGAATCATGGGACGTATGAGGCAGGCTTTGTTCCCAGAGCAACCTTTGATCAGGCTTACTGAGGTGCTTTGGAACATCGGATCGCATGACTCAAACGCCAGGGCACGGGAGCCAAAATGAGGCCACGTGCTGGGGGTGCAGGGCCGCCACACGGTGGCAGCTTGGGGCCTGGGAGAAGGGCTCCCACACAGCCCATTCTTCAGCCGGCGATCTGCAGTCTACTACTACCTTGAAAGGTAACACGGTTCCCAAGAGCCCGTAAACACCCAACCAAGTAGGTACATTAAAACAGGAACACTGTACATAAATTTATGGTACAATGCACACAGTATAGCACACTACTATAATACTCATATAAAATATATGTTACATGTAAAGTTACCGTACCATTTGGAGTCCTGTGGACTTTAGTCAGAACCCTGGATGGACGATTTGCAAAGGGAAGGATAAAATTTCTCTCCCCTTTCCCGGCTTCAGAACACAAGCAATGAACACATGAGTAAGTGGAAGAAAGTTTTCCAAATGTTCCACAATACTAACCTCGATATGCAAACCTTGTATTACACCACATCCAAGGAGAGGCACTTGCCACTAAAGTATTGTTTTGTACCTAAAAAGGTACTTGTAACACAGTATCCATTCCTGATTAGCTCATTTAGTAAACAAAGAATAATTCTAGGTAAAAATCTTCTGTTTTGTTTTTGAGGGGACAAGGTCTCCCAATGGAGGGCTGGCCTCAAACTCCTGGCCTCAAGCAATCCTCCTGCCTCAGCTTCCCAAATAGGTGGGACTACAGGTATGATCACCAAACCCAGCTAGGTAATTTAGAAAAGACTGGAAACATTGTGAAAGAATTTTTCCCAAGAAGTATGTCAAATAAAGACAGTTTTCAGCTTTCTAAGGAAAGGTGATTTTCACGCTATCTTTTCTATACAGCATATTTTTTTTCTGATTGTTCTTAATGATTCCAAATGCAAGAGGATTTCTGGTAATGTTAAAAAAGTGTAATCCTTACTTGAATATAAATGTATGTATTTACAGCTGGAAGACTGAAATGGTATCTGCTGGCTCTTCTTTATTTAAGCTGGGCAGATGGGCCAACTGATTTCCTCCAGCTTTGTTCTCTGCTTTCCTTCCTGCTTTTAGTATCTCAGCTCTCTACCTTGCTGAACTTCTCCCAAAGTCATAAAGACCTAGTTCTGTATAGCAATGTGTAGGAGTGCTCCACTCAACTCCTTTTGTAGCACAATCTACCCATCTACAGTTCTTTGCAGAAATGTGAAATGGGAACGGTTCTCGTAATTGAACTCGGGTGCTGAATACCTCTAATGGCGACACACAGCATGCCAGAGTCCTGAGGGATGATTCTCTTCAACCAGAAGACAGTATATATGAAAGAATGTAAAAAATGAATTTGTCACCTATGAAAGAATGTAAGAAATGAATTTGTCACCGTAGTTCCTAGCAACTTGTTTTTTTTTGTTGTTTTTTTTTTTGAGACAGGGTCTTGCTATGTAGTTGAAACTGGCCTTGAACTCACTATATAGCCCAGGCTGGCTTCAACCTCACAGCAAACCTCCTGTCTTAGCTTTCTGAGTGCTGGGATTACAGGAGTGTGCCACTACATCTGGCAATAGCAGCTTAATTACTAATAGCTAAAAACAAAAACAAAAAACAAAAAAAAAGACAAAACACAAAACAACAAAACCAAGAAAACAAAACTAACTGGAAACAACCTAAATGTCTATCAATTGGTGAATGGATATGCATACTATGGTATATTGAAACAACAGAACACAAGTCCAGCAAAAAAGGAGGAATTACTGATACATGCAGCAACAGGAGTGAACGTCAAACTAATTATGCAGAATCGAAGAAGCTAGAAAAGAGGCTACATACTACTGAGTCCATTTACATAACGTTTCAGAAAATATGAATTAATCTATAACGGCAGACTGAGGCAGGGGGATCATCGTGAGTTCGAGGCCAGCCCGGCTATGTAAGCAAGTTCGAGGCCAGCCTGCACTACATGGTGAGACCTGGTCTCAAATAAAAGTCTATAATGGTTACTTGAGGACTGAAAGGCAGGGAGGAAAGGAAAGGAAGGAAGGAGGAATACAAAGGAACAAAAGAACCTTTCGAGGCGATGGTATCTTCGTTTTTACTACCTGAATTATGGGGATGTTTCCATAGGTCAAAACTCATCAAAATGTGCACCTGTCATGTGTGCGGTTACCACATGTCAATTACACCTCAATAAAAGTGGAAAACAAGAAAAAACACCGCCAGTATTGTTTTACAATAACTCCTTGCACAGTTCAGTAATACAAGTGGGTTTAACCTAGTGAAAATGTATAGGTTTCCAGCAGGCACGAAGACAGGGGCTGAGATGCATACAAACTTAGAAATAACTCATGAAGGAAAAACAGCACAGCTTAAGTTATACTCGCTTTGCCAAACAGGAAGCTAAGAATTCTAACAGGGCTAAAACCTAACGGTTGTCAGGGCAGAAGGAAGAAGACGAGGCAGGTTTCATCTTACTACGCAGCTATTCCCACGAACCGATGTATGAAATGATCCTACCCAGGCAAATGAAAGAGGGCTACTTTCAACCTGAACTTCAACCGCAGCACAGTTCCCACAAATATGTATCGTTCTGGGCTCTCTTTAAGACAGAAATAAATTAAATGTTTCCTTCCTTCCTTCCTTTTCCTTTCTTCCTTCCTTTCTCCCTTCCTTGAGTGTGCTAGGTACTGAATCCAGGGGCTTGAACATGCTAGAGAAGCTTTTTGTGTGTATTTGCGTGTTTTTTTCACACAGGGTTTCAACTCACTTTGTAGCCCAAGCTGGTCTCAAAATTACAGCGATCCTCCTGCCTCAGCATCTTGAGTACTGGCATTACAGGCGTGTGCCACCATTTCTGGCCATGTATTTTGTAATATTAAAATTCAACATCTTGAAATCTGGTTATGTGACTCCTACGAAGCACAAACACACATACGCGTGCACACACACACACACACACACACACACACAGCAGTATAGTCTTCGCTAATAAAATGTCTGCATTTTAAAAAAAGTAGGTATTTTTAAAATCACCTATGGACCTGAACAGATATTTCACCAAAGAAGACATACACATGGCACCAATTTCACCTATATGAAAGGTGCTCAACTGGAAAATGAGGGGTTAGGGATGTAGCCAGGGATGTAGCAGAGCACTTGCTAACATGCACAAGGCCCTGGGTTCAATCCCCAGCACCAAAACTAACAAATCAACCAAACCCACAATGAGATATTATCTCGTATCTGTTAGGGTAGTGATTAGAAACACAAATCATGACAAGCGGCAGTGAGCACATGGAGGAAAGAGCCTTTGCATACACGGTAGCTACACAGGACAGCGGCACAGCCTCTATGCAAACAGTATGGAGAGTCCTCAAAAACTAAAACTAGAATGACCACATGATCCAGCAATGCCACTTCTAGGTATGTATCCAAAGAATTAAAATCAGGATCCCAAATAATACCTGTACCTCCTGCTCACTGTAATGTTATTCACAATAGCCAAGATAAAAAAAAAAACAAAAACTACTTAAATGTTCATGGGCAGATGAATGGATAAAGAAAATGTGGCAGATATATACAATGGAATATTATATACCCTTAAAAAATAAGAAAATCTGGTCACTTTCAACAACTGAGATGGACTTGGAGGGCATTATGCTAAGTGAAACATGAGAGACACAGAAAGACAAACCCTGTTATGACTTCACTTACACAGTGTGTGACACTGTAGATGAACTCAGGGAAGCAGAGAGCAGAACGGCAATTGTCAGGGATTGGGGGAAGCAGCAATGAGGAGGTCATGGTTAAGGGGTACCAAGTTTCACTTATACAAGATGAGCCCATTTGGGACTATGCTACTATGTGGCATTATGCCTTAGCTAATGATGTTGTGAAGCACAGATCTTACGTGTTCTTACCGAAACACACACACACACACACACACAGAAGCAAATCATAGTAACGTAATGACAGGGAGGCAACTATGGACAGTAGCGGATATATTTATGATTTTGATGGTGATGAGTTCATGGATGTATTCTTATTATTAAAACTCATAGAGATGTAATCACTAACTAGGTACAAAAGCCTTTTATATCCCAATTACTGTATTGTTCAATAAAGTGGCTGCAAAAACTTACAATTAAGCTAACTGAACAATAGGAGAGTCAATGAGGAACGTCTGAAAGGAGAATTTGCAGGAGTTTTCTGCATGACAGATGGACTGAAAACAAGGCACTATTTTGTCAGCTCACCAGTTGTGCTTTTGTTCCAAGGAAGTTCCACCATAAGCTCCAAATAATTTCTAGTCAGAGCATATTCTGGCATTGACTGAGGCATTTTTTTGAGTCTGTGGGGGAAAAATACATAGCAAACATGCTCAGGAACACAATAATTCCACAAAAACAAAAAATTAGCATGTCTTCCTTTCTTGGTTACATGTATCATACACATATTTAGTTAAATATGAAAAAATTATACACCTAGTTAATAAAAGTTTTATTTTGTATACCTGTAACATAAAAGACAAATGGTGTTCTATGTAACTCTGCGGTTATCCAGAAAATGGAATCAGCCATGTATTCCATTTGTGATCAAGGTTGCCCTGTACTTTGTTTTGCATAAAAACTGCTAGTTCCTTCCCTTTGAAGTTTATAATCTAATGACAAAAGCGACATGTGACAAAGACAATGATAAAGGATCACACCTTACATCTAAACAAAGTATGCTCCATTCTTTAGACCATGAAAAGCCAGTAACAACAGTTCTAACTCTTGTCAGCAGGCTGTAGGCAGAAGGGATATGTTGCTTCTCAGAAGCTGAGAAAAAAACTAGAGGAAGTAGTGTCAATTTAGGAGGATTAAGACTATTTAAAGAATTAGACTCTGCTGAGGAATAAAGAAAGGAAGAAAACATTCCACAGACCAAAGGTAGAAGCCGAGAATGATGAAAGCCATGACCGAGAGAAGGCAGTGGGAATACAGATGACCACGGTGCTTTTTGAGTGCATTAAGTGTAAAAAAAGGAACAGACCAGGGAATATAAATCAAATAACTCAGCTTTCGGTCTGTGATCCGAGGTAGCAGAATCACGTTTCTGACAGCAACAATTTTTAACACAAATAAAATAAACGAAAGCATTAAGAACGCCCAGGCCGACTTACCTTTTTATCTCCTTGACACAGACCCTGTGGGCCTGCTCTGGCATACTGGATGTTCGGATTTTTTTCTCCAACATGATAATGTCATCGTTATCTTCATCTTCATCCTCATCCTCTAAAGTACTTGGGATGTGTGTAATCCTCCGAATAGGGCGGATGGCTATAACCTAAGCAGGAAGTACGAGAAAACTGTGGGTCAAGAAAAATCAGAAATGAAGTACACAGCTATAGGTAAGGTTATGACCAGTGAGAAATAAACACGTCTATTCCTCTAGTCCGTTATCTAGAGGAACTAAGCACAGGGTAGTCAAAAGGCAGGCACACATGCAGGCAGTGGATCAACATAAACTGGATATGGCCCTTTGGTACATGCTTACAATATTACTTGCATGAGAAAAATATTCAAAGAACTGCCTACTAGAAATAATTAGAACATCCAGACACTACCTGTCATTGAGCTAATATCGAGCCACGAGTATCCTCACGTCCCTCACGACTCACCAGCTGATGTATGAATAAATCCCACCCCTCCTCCTCACTAGAAATTTTCTCTCTCACATCACCAACCTTTGCATCTCGGGCGCTCTTATCATGGACTTCAACAAGAGACCCCTTTTTCCTCTGAAAATACCTTACCTCACCGACGGGCCCTCTGTTAACTGCTGTACTGCCCGCTGTCCTTCTGGTCCTGTCTGCTTGTCCTCAAGTGGCTACAGCCACTGCTTCCCCAGCTCACCATGGCCTGGGCTGCGTAAGCCTCTGGCTTCCGTCCCACCAGGCCAAAGTCGTTCCTCCCAAGCCAACCAGCACAGCAGTGCCAAGCAGGCGGCCTTCACCTGTGTTCCTTCTCCACGACCTCTCAGCGCACTGTAGAGTACTGCATGTACTCTTTGAAACTCTCGACTAATTATTATCAGGAGTCAATGCCAACCACTCCTGGAGCAGAGTGATATACTGGTGTTTAACTTATAAGCCTCCAGAATTAATGTTTTAAGGTTTGAAATGGTCTAACACATTCAAATATAAGAAGGTTAAAACACATAGCAATAGATGAAAATTAATTTTATAAAAACATTTTATGAACACTACTTTTAGTTTTATATGTCAATAGGAGATATAAAATATTATAAATTTTTAAATTATTATATTTAAGACAATAAATTTTCGTAAGTGAAAAATTTAAAAGCACATTAATGATTCTGTCGTTAAGACAAAAGCACTATTTATGCATTTCCATTTCCCTGCTAAAATAACACTTTTCAACTTGTATTCAGATATTAAAATGAGACAAGTTTTAGGCTAACTCTAAACCATGTCTTTTGATTCCTACTAACCTTCAACTAACCATCTCTTATTGAGTCAGCTTCTGAAGTACTGTGGAATTTTGTTTCTAAACTGCAGTAACCCTTTTCTGATATTAAGCTATAATTTCTCTGACTTCCAGGGCAGTATGAGGATGGGTCTGATTTTCTGTAAAAAATTAGTAAAGTCACAGAGGTGATCTCATGCCAGAACTAATTCAAACTTCGGATGCCTGGTAAACGGCGTGGGGTCCCGGTATACCGAGCCTTGGCCTGGGGACCCTCTCCTCCTGCTCTGGGATCCTCTGCACTGGCCGTCCTCTGTCCTAGGACGGGGCTGCCCTGCTCTTCTTCCTCTGGATGTGGGGTATTCTCTTTCACGAAGGAACAGTGTTGCGCTGGTGACCATCAAATCCCTACTGTCATTTTCATTTTACCCACATCAAGTGTATCTTCCTGATCTTAACTTTGCCCAGACATAAAAACGGTAAACTACCAGCTCAAGGAAGTTTGAGCAAATGACTCCATCATTTATAGTAAATGTAATGAATGCATAATAGTGGAGAAGGGAGGATTATTTAATAAGTAATGCTGAGTCAAATAAAAAGCTATTGGGGGAAAATACAACTCCTGTGTTCATATCATTCACAGGGCAAAATAACTTGGGTTAAAGACTTCTGTATTTTTTGAAAAATTAAACTAAGGGGAAACTAAGGAGCTAAATAAATGTTACTTATCAAACCACTAGAGGATAGAAGGCTCTAAGCTTAAAAGACAGGAAGATTCAATGTTTGACTAAAGAAAAGTTTACACTTTTTATTTTTTTGAGACAGGGTCTCACTTCATAGCCCAGGTTGGCCTTGAATTTGCAGTGATCTTCCTGCCTCAGCCTTCCCAGTGTTGGGATTATAGACATGCACCACCATGCCTGGCTTAAAATTTACACTTTTAAAACTTAGAAAAAGCTAAAGTATTATACAACTTAATCTTTTTAGAAAACAATTTTGTGTTCTGTTCTTAATACTACATGCAGTTTAGAAAGTTATAGGCAAAGATGTCATAGTTATTTGCTAATTTTTAAAACATGGAAAACATTAGAAACAAAACATGTTTAACAAAAAGAACTCAGTGAATTACTCCTTTGGTTGATTACTAAAACAAAAACAGGGAGAAAATACTTACATGCTTAAAAAATAAAAATTCAGGCATGGAAAGGATGGAATTTTATCAGACACAATGAACTTCTATAGTCCAAGTTTTTTTTTCCTGAAAAATCTGAATCTCATGCTGTATAAGGCTCTCCAAGAATGGGACGAGAGCAGTACATACCCGTTTATCATCATCTTGCTTGGGCTTCCTGGTTTTCTGAAGCAATTTCAGACCTTCAATTTGCCTGACAAGCAGGGGAATGGTCATCTTGAAGCGCTCCTCCAAGCTCACAGCATCTAAAATCTGGGAAGCAGGACTCCATTAATAGCAGCTCTTTCTCTGAAACACACGCTCCAAAAACAGGCAATCAACAGCCATGACTTACACTGCTGAGTAAAAATATCCCATGGGCATCCACAGCCACACTGCGGTCAACCAAGCTAACGCATCAGCAAAGGTAACTGAACTGAATATGTATATGAAAACTCTAATCAAAGATGTGAACAAAGGATCTGGGATTTTCATTTCAAAGTGAAGTTATGTGTTCCAGGATGAGGAACCAAACATACAGGTGATTTCAACTCTTTCTATGGGTTATTTTCTTAAAGGATAGAATGTGTCTACATTTGCAATCTCAACAACTTCTAGATCCAAAATGCTACACTTTTAAGTGCACGAGGGGACAGCAGCACGCCTGGTGGCCTCCCATGGACTGACACCCAGAGCCTTGCGCTCCTTGGCACCTGCCTGCCAAACTCTCTCTGTCTCTGTTGACACCCAAACTGTTTATACAAATTGTACCTGCTGTTGTAATTGCCCTATTTAAATTTTTTTGTTTGGTTTTGGTTTTTTTGAGATAGGGTTTCACTACGTAGTACAGGCTGGCCTTGAACTCACTACGTAGCCAGGCTGGCCTTGAACTTGTAGGGATCCTCCTGCCTCAGCCTCCCGAGTGCTGGGATCATCGGTGTGTGCCACCGTGCCCAGCTCCCTGTTTAAGTATTAAATAACTGGATAAAATAAGAGCTATTTCATGAAAACTAAATGTTTTAGGAAGATTTAACAAATCCTACAGATTGCTTACAAATACTACAAAAAATAAATATGCAAGAAAACCTAGAGTCTTAGAGTTTCAAATCTAGGATTCTATATTTAGATGAGATTGGGCTTGTTCAGAGTAGAATGGCCGTAGACTAGGATCTACATATAGATGTTTCAAATGTCTTTAAAACTTATTTCTCCTGCCTCAGCCTCCTGAGGACTGGGACACCAAGCGCGTGCCACCATGCCTGGCTTTCAAACTTATTTCATATGAAAGAAATAAAATCTGAAAATCATAGATAATGCAGCCTAGGAGTGATTTACGTAAGAAACACCATGGAGAATTCTAATGCAGTGGGGCATGTACAAAGGAAAGGCCATGCCTGCACATGTTCGGAAAATGGCGAGGTAAAGAATATTCACATACTTACACTAAAATTTACTTTTTAAAAATGAGTCTCAGTTTTAGCTTTTTCCATAAATTGACCAACTACTAGCAGTGACTGCAAATAAAAGGGCTGCTTATACGAACAAAAGTATATAATAATCACTTTAAAAAGTCAATTTAAATACAAAACTATTTTCATTACTTTTCATTCTACCATTTCATTCTACAAGTCTCCAGGACTTCTCTGTTTCTTTTTTGTTGAGACAGGGTCTTGCTCTGTAGTTCAGGATGGCCTTGAACTCACTTCGTAGTCCAGGCTGCCCTTGAATTCACAGTGATCCTCCTGCCTCAGCCTCCCAAGTGCTGGGATTACAGGCATGAGCCACCATGCCCAGCCAGTAGTTTTTTCTTGAAGCTCCAAATTTAACTACTCACTGTCTGGATCTAAGTAAAGATTGACAGAGCAACTTGGCATTGAAGAAGTGAGCACTGTACCTGGAGCTTCTCTTTGTTGCTGGTTCGGATAATTGACGTCAGGATATCTGGCAACGCTTCCCTTGGGAGACTGTCTAAAAGACGCCTCAATTTGGCAACTGCAGGCACAGACATATCCAACATTTCAACCAACTAGAGGGGGAAAAGGACTTGAATGAAATCCGGCATTATCTGGGGAGTTTCAAAAATCAGACTTCCACATAGGTTGAATATTTGCATTTCAGGTTTTGCTTTTGCAAGATCATTAATATCAGTATTATACGGGCATCTTACAGGCCTCAGGGGAAAGGGGTACTTCCTCGACAGCAATAACAGTGAAAAGCAAAAACGGCTCAAAAGCACTGCACACCCATGTTCATGAAAGACTCTGTGAATTTGTGCTGATTTTTATATTAAACTGTATTCTGGAAAAAATTCAAGTTTATAACAAAGTTGAAAAATAGTATAATAAATAGTACAAGGCACTCCTATATATCCTTTTAGATTCACCAACTTTTAACATTTTATAAAGCAACATTAGCTGCCTCGGTACACACCCACACTAATATTATTATGGTAGTTACTGTATTTACATGTAAGTTACAAACATCATGACCCTTGTTCTAAAGGACAGGACAGGGCTGGGAATACAGCTCAGAGGCACAAGCGCCTGCCCGGCAAGTGCAAGGTCCTGAGTTCAATTCCCAGTACCAAAAATAAAAAGAACAGGACATTTCCTTACACAAGCACAATGTAATTATCAGATTCTGCAAATTTAACAGCTGATGCTATTATGACAGCCAACCAGGAGTTAAAATTCTACATTTGGATTATCTAAAATTTGAGCACCGAGTAATTTTTAGAAACGAACAAGCAAAACAACAATACCTCTAGGGTCTAGAGTAAAACCTAGAGTAAAGACAGATTAAACCCAGACAAGCTTCAGTAACTGCAATGTCATTTGGGCTACAGACAGAGACCCTTCTCCTCTGCGCACACGGCAGGACTGTGCTGTCTCACCTCCCTAGAACACAGGCGTGGCTGCGAGTTTTAAGCTGACCCTTGAAACACCAGGGCACGGGAAAAGCTCCTGCTGGACAAGAGCACCGGAGGCAACAGAGGGGTCCACAGCTTTTCTTTCCGCCTCGGCAATACGAGATGGATCTCTGTGCACCTGGGTCCTGAACTGAGTCTAATCTGCAGATGATCACACACACTAGTTCTAGGCACAAAGCCTAAGCAGAACTACACATCTGCTCTATGACTGAGATTTCTAAAAACTGTACGAATCCATGTCTGCAGCACACTGTGATCACACCCACCGTGGGGAGCTGGTGCATGGATGCACACGTCTCTCCATCCTTCCCACCCTCCCTTACTCCCCTCCCCCTATCTCTCGGTCTCTCCCTTTTGCAGAAGACCCTACCTCCCTGTTTCCTATTATCTATTTTATATTTTGCTCTCTAATGTATTTATATTTTGGATTTCTCATATACGATGTGATATCTAAGAACACATGTGATATTTAAGCTTGTGTGTCTGACTTACCTGGTAACTGAGATTTTGGAGCTAACATAGCAAAACTTAGTTCATACCAATTTATAAATGATGTATCAAATCTTCACATGGTCAACTCTAATAAGATTCTGTATTTAGAGTGATAATAACACCACTCGAAAAACAATGTCGCCTGCCTAGAATCAAGGAGTTAAAGTGTAATTATGATGAGGCTGTTCAAGGGGGAGAAGATAATAAAATTTGAAGAGCCTCATTCCTAGAAATTCATCTTAAGAAAGTAAAAGAGTTAAAATTCACTCCCCAGCACTTACTGAGTAGAAACTACTTGTCAGATTCACTATACTGCTTAGCACAAGCCAGTTAAAGCAGAGACAAATTCCAATTTGGTAGGGAAACAGATCTATAAGATAAATTTTAGTATCACTCGATTGCTATTATATTAAAAATATGAATAAAGAGTGAGAAAGAAAAAAAAAGAGAGAAAGAAACACAGTCTACAGGAGCTGAAAAAGCATACATCCAATGTGAAAACTCAAAACTCCCAGCAGAGAACAGAAGGCAAAAACGACAGACATGTGAAGTAACCGGACGTGAAGCTCGGGCCTCAGTGGTCAGAATGGCTGATGGAGGAGGGGCCTGAGGCGAGGTGGAGGCCTCAGACAGGCTCCCGGGGCCTCAACCTTTTCCTGAGCAGCCTGAGCTTTACCCTAAGGCCACTGAAGTTCCTTACTCAAGGAAAAGCCGTGCCCCAAGCTGGCATTTTGTTTTTCAAGAAAGGCTCAGCTGGCAGGATGGGTTAAAGACAAAAAAGAGGAGTTTAAAATCAGAGATGCAGTTATATCACCGGATATTATCAACAGGACTGTAGGAGACTACATTGTGTAATACGATTTTATCATTTGTTTCACTAAGGTTTGAAAGAAAATGAAATGGGAAAAGTAGATTTCTGTTCTATCTACAGTTTATAAAAAACCTCGAACCTAGAAATAAAGAATCCAGAATCTAACGTATGTGTAAAGTGCACTCCCCTCCCAGAAATCTAGTTAGCCAAGGTTTAAACCATATTTGAAGTCAGTCACCATGGGCTTAATCTTTCATTGTTATGGACACAATTCTGTAACCTGGACTTCCGAGGCAATATGACGTCTATAATTGGTTGTCTAGGTGTTTTAGTGACAAATAGCTTCTGTGTTGTATTTTAATGTAACATTAAAGTTTAGATTCCATTGGAAAAAAAAAAACTTTAGAAAGGGTTGATACATGCTCGAATGATTTACTTACAAGCACAGACAAAAGCAAAGTGAAATACAGTATAAAATGTTATTAAACCATCTAAACATATGCTGCGCTGAAACTTCAGCTCTGAGAGTCACCATAAAACAGCAAAAGAAACAAACGAAAACTGGGTTTTCCAGGAAAAGGTCACTCACTTGTACTGCGTATTTGTAGAACTGTTCCGACAGCTCTCCCAGCTCCTCCCTGGTTTTGCAGGTGTTGGGGAACTCCTCCAGCCGGTCCAACTGTTCCACTTCAGCCACAGGGTAGGGCTTCTCTTTCAGGACCTGGGCAATCTGGAACCGGCAGAGGCCCGTGATCAGCAGAGTGTAGTGGGGCTTGGGCCAGTTACTGCCTACAACCTGGACTGCCAGTGCAGCTGTCCCGATCCTGAAAAGCACACACAATGGAGTGGTCACAGATGCCTGAGGGCAGAGCACAAGTCACGTCAAAAGTGTTGTTTTTTCTGAGGAATTCATTTAAAAAATAAAGAACATCTAAGGTGGAAATGAAGGATTTCTCTATTTAATTTAGCATCCAGTCTGTAGTACGTTGAGGCATCGCCATCAACTATGGGGCGATCTCACTATAACTGGCACTTGTTTTAAAAATTAGGAAATCACATGCATCTGAATTATTGAAGCATAAGAATGTAAAAGCTGACAATTATTACTCTAACTTTGCCAACTAGGAATAAGGCAATCTTGTAACAGAATAAATATCAATATTTCAAATAGACAAACAGCACAAACCAGTGTAAGAAATCTCTGTTCCAATACCAGTTTTGCTGTTATCATCAAACCAATTCTTCTTTTTTTTTAATCTTTTTGAGACAGGGTCTCGCTACGCAATTCAGGCTGGCCTTGAGCTCACTTTGTAGCCCAGGCTGGTCTCGAACTCCCAACACGATCCTCCTGCCTCAGCCTCCCGAGTACCAGGATTACAGGCTTGCGCCACCAAGCCCAGCTCATCAAACCAATTCTTATACAATCCATTAAATGTCTACACAACTGCCATCATATCACAAACTGCCATCATAACCTGGAAATATGTATCCTTAATCCTGGATCTCTAAATGTGGGAACTAAACACTGTAGACTGCACAGTGTCACGAGCTGAGGACAGTTAGAGACCTACACCTCCAGAAGGCATAAACCTAGCTCAAGAGGCAATCTAATAATGGCTGAGAAGTTTTATGCTTTGACCAACTCACATATAAACTTAATCTGTGAAGAATCTCATCCAAACTAAGCCAAAGTTACATAAAACATAAAGATGAACATTCAGAAGATGCTTCCACGTGCCAAATTAGACATTCTCTCCCCTCAGACACAGGAAAGGTGGTAACTGAAGAAAAGAAATTAAATGTCACTAGCTCTCCAGGAATGATAGTACTAGAACCCTGTACCTGCTCATCTCAAACAGTGAATCCCATCCACATATAGCATGGGAATGACTAAGTGCATTTTTGCTTGTATGTACAGTTCATCTGGATTACTTCCTTTTATGCCTTCTGTGGAGTGTCAGTAGCCTTTGTTTTCCTGTACCACTCAGCCTACTTTGAGCTACGTCCATCCTTCCTCAGCACCCTTTCAGTCATGTCTAGCATAAGGGGATAAAAACTGATATAGACAACGACTTCAGTCAAATAATTAGGAAGTCAACTGGGTGAAAAGGAAAACAATCATACACTTTAAAAACTTGAGATGATCTGGCATTTACTTACGACCTACGTGTACTGCGGCTACTTTTCTGAAATCACTAACCAATAGTAAGCTACATTTCCCATTTCTTGAAAACCAACTCAAATTGCCTGAGAAAATTAGCAATACCTCAAGTGATTAGAAATAACTTAGACTATAATTCACGGCAGATGCTATTCGCCAAGGTGTGCTCTGGCAGAGTCCGCAGCTCCTTAGGATGCAGAGACAGTCAGATGAGAGACCGGATCCCCTGCCCGAGGGACTCAGAAAGGAAGATGAGCTGAACCCAAACTTCCAGATGAGAGATGAATTTAATTACCTGGCTGATGCTGCTGACAAAAGGTGATGCTAAAACAGGTTTCTTACAAAACTAATCTGACACTTTTGCTAACAGTGGAAGGGAGATATTCCAAACTGAAACAAGATGAAGCAGGACTCCAGCACACCTCTCTTCCTAACAAGATGAAAGTTTTAAAAGTCCTAAGTGGCTCTGAATTGAAATCCCACAGTTGACTAGGCTATACCATTTTAGACGAGATCGGGCACGTTCAGAGAGGTATGCCCGTAGACTAGAACATACCCTTTTAAAGAAAAACATGATCTGTGAAATTCTAGATGGCTGGACACACTATCTGGTGAAGACATTTTGGGAGAAAAGTGCTGTGAAAAAGGACATTTAATGTTATTTTGGATAAGTTATATTATCTAGTGGACTCCAAGTTTTATACAGAAAAACAGACAAGCAAACAAAATATTCAATTACTTTCTATGAAACACAAGTCTTTATACCACAAGTCACGTATCTAACTATTCTTGCTCTTGCACGACGTGCAGTGTTAGCTATGACCCAAAGCAACACTTTGAATCTGCAGTAGATCCAGGTTTATACAACCAAATGAAAGCAACAGTGTTCCCCTCAATGTGGCCGCTCTATAATAAATCTACACTCCAAGTACTCTGATATTCTTACAGTTCAGACAATTTTTGAAATTCTTAGTCAGAGTGTAATTTCAGAGTTTGTAACATATTATAGTATTTTAATACACACACGGTCTCATTACAAGGTCTGACTGTGTAATCTGAAAACTGACTCTGATAATATAGGGGTCAGGATTTGAAAGCCATCAGATGTAATGGTAGGAAAATCTAAAAGCTACTACTGGAATAAAAGCAATTTTCCAAGACAATAAAACACTGCAAATGTCTGGACTCTGGTCTATAGATCAAGCACATGGTTGTGGTTTTTTGTTTTTAATTTAAAGTCTTCCATTTTTCTTGGAATCCTCAATCTTCCAAATTCCTTCTGTAATGATGCTAGGTCAGCTGCTCATGTGGGGAAAATGTAGGGTCTCCTACTCCTCTCTTCAATCCTCTTTTGTAGAATCCACATTTTAAACTCTCCATTTAGTGAATAATGCCACTAGCAAATAGGTTTAGAATGCCTCACAGTTACAAAAGGCTTCCATAAATATTATTTCATTATATACAGCCTTTTGCCCCTATTAGGAAAGTAGTATTATCTCCTTACTATGAATAAGTAACTGAGATTCAAGAATAGGGGAAAAAAGCTAGTTGGTCATGGTTACAAGGATAGTTAATAGGCACAGGGCTCTTGAATTAGGTTTTATGACAAATTTTACTCTTTTCTTACCATGACAGACAACATGAATTTGTACTTACATACTTATTAACACAGCTTTTAAATAGCTGAGATACTGTAAAGCACAGCTATTACCTAACACTTGATGAACATAACATTTAATGAACGCTTATTGAGAGAAGGACCTCTGTCAAAGCTCTGGAAACAAAGAAAAGGTGTACATTTCCGAGAAAGAGCCATGAAGTTTCTTGTTAGTTTTGTCATGGTGTCACACTGCTTATTTCCTTGAATAGCAGCTGATGTTTGAACTGTGCATCTGCTGTATATACTACACGTATTTATATTTTGTTAGGTGGATGCTAAAGAAACCAACTTGGGATCTCACAGATAAGTAAGACAGCAGATGAACAGGGACTGAAGGATCAGTACTATCAGGAAAGGAAGCGCTGGACCCTAAAGAATGCCAGGTTGAAAGAATGGAAGACCATCTGAAGCGCCTGAAAAGGTACTTTGCAGGGAGTGCTAAATTACTGTCCTTTTGTTTTTGTTTTTTAAGAAAATGATTTTTATTGGTGCATTTTAGGTATACATAATGATCACATTCATCACAGGGAATTTATACCTAAACTTGGTTCTTTTTTTCCCCATTTCCCTACCTTCCTTTTAACTCCTCCTTCCCTCTTTACAAAAGCTTTACTTCCATTTTTCCCTTCTGTCCACTTTTAACTCAGAAAACACCATTCATTCAGGAGCTACTACAAATCCAATACAGTTCAGCTGAGCAAAGAAATGAGGAGCAGGACGTCCAGAGGTGGCATAGGAGCCAAGTTCTACATGACAGGGTAAGGCAAAGTTCTTCCTTTAAAAAGGCTGCCATCAGGCAATGTCCCACACACTGACGCATAGACACAACTGCACGGCTCACAACGGCAGGCAGCAGGATAGCGACGTCAGTCCACACGACAAGGAACACGGGAACAGACAGCTCCTGGCAGCCTGAGCCCAGTCACCTGCGCCACTTGATGTGCTGGGAGCAGGAGGCAGGAGCAGAGTTTCGCACCTCCCCTCTGGAGTACACTGCCCTCCGGAAAGGCAAGTAACCAGGAGGAACAGAGGGGACACAAGGACACACTAGTGTCATGGAGAATGTTTTAGAAGCTGCAATAAAGAAAAAAGACTTCAGAATCTATTACCAAGGAGAATGGTGCTATCTTTCTTCTATATACTCTTCAAGTAGCAAACAGTTCTAGATTGGGTCTGGTAGCTTCTTACAGTGCCAAATGCAATGAAGATATTTCACTGTACACTTTCTAATTTAAGTGATTAAATATTAACATTGCTAGTCATGTTTGGAACAAAAGCAGCATACAAAAGGGTCAGATTACACATTATCTGAGTACAGTGGTATCTTGGAGTTTGCTCCATGATTTTGGAAAACATGGGCACATTTGGGTTTGAGTGGGAAAGTAGCTATGGGTTGTGTTTATCACCTGATGTACAGTTAGTAAACAAAAACAAAATTTTGCTAAATGCTTTTGTTTGTAAACCAAACTGTCTGCAAACAAAAGGGTTCATGAACCAAGGTACCACTGTATTAGTGTTTACTTCCAGCAAGAGAATTTACTGTTGGTTTGGAGGGATTTACATAAAAAAATTTAAAATCCTGCAAAATCTTGCAAGAATAATATCATCAGATAGCCACTCAAACCAGCAATCTACCAACCTAACTCTACTTTTAAAATCCAGAGAATCCACAAATAATTAGTACATACATAAAACAAGAACCAAAAAAACTCTACTCATTACCACTCTTGCCTCAACAACAAGTAAGTACCTGGCAAAACATTATGAAAGAAATAAGCAGGGGATTAAAGAGTGGGTCAATTATAGGGGGACCAGAATCTAACACAATTGCCAAAGAGTAATGCAATTCGAAAATTGTCCAGTTCCACTCAGGCGGTAACCAAAGTAGATGAGAGCTAAATGTTCATGCTCGATAAAACCAAAGCTTTAACAATCTGAACTAATACCACACTGTTGTACAGGGTTTTTTGTTTTTGTCTTTTAAGCAACTATCAGTCTCTTTTGAAAATATGAAGAAAAGGGAGGGACTTTCATCAAAACACAAACCCAAGATTTTCAGTGAAAACAAGATCTGTGTGTGTGTGTGGGTGGGTATGTGTTGTGATGAGGATTTAATAAAGCTTTTTTTTTTTAAGCCTCTAAAAATCTACTCAGTCAGAAATCTCTTAAAAATAAAGGATAAGGCTAGAATGTAGCTAAGTGGTACAGCACTTGCCTAGTATGTGTGAGGCCCTGGGTTCCAGTCCCAGGACCAGACAAAAAGAAAAAATAAAAATGAGGGGTAAATGCAGAGGAAGAAGGATCTCCAAACTATAGTTAAACATAGGAGGTGGACACAGAGACAAGTCTAAAGAGAGTATTTGTTGAAAGCATACTACAAATCAGCATTGTCCAATAAAAATGTGAGCCATGTGTGATTTTAGTAGCCACGTTATAAACAGATGAACTATTAACATGTTATTGAACATTTCAAATGGTCAAAAGTATTACCATTCCCACATGTAGTCTATATACTGGACTTTATTAATAAACAAAATATTTTTCATGCTAAGATTTTTCACAACGTGAAATGTACATGTACAGCACCTTCAGAGTGGCCAGCTGCCCTGGTTTACCTGAGATTGAGGGACACAGGAGCTTTAGGGCTAAAACTGACGGTCCTAGCAAATCATGAAATCAGGTTCCTGTAGCATCTCAGTCTGGAACAGCCACATTTCAAAGGCTCTATGGCCACTTTAGGTGGCAGCACAGCTATTCACCAAGCATGGTATACACTTAAGCAATCTATATACTTAATCTACATAACCACTCAAGGGATAGATGTTGCTAATCTGCAAATTACAGATGAAGAACCAGACATAGGTTAGGTCTCACCCAAAGCCACACAGCTAAGACCATGGTGCCAGGCAATCTAGTGGTAAGCGCGGGGCCTAAATGTTAAGATATGACAGAAGGACCAAAGTTTAGATGTTAGGAAAAGTTCCAGAGAGGAAGACAAAGGAAAATGTGAACAGGAAGGCCTTTTATAAAGGAAAAAAAAAAGTAATGTGGGAGGAGGAAAAGAGGATACAGAAGTGTAGAAGAGCACCCCAAAATTAAGGCAAAGTGGTGTTTAGGAAGTGTGCAGGACCAAAACAAAACAAACCTGTGGAGTACAGTGTGTCGGTCTTACTTTTCTCTCGGTGCTGGGACAAAATACCTGACACCCAAAGTTAAGGAAGGAGAGGTTTATTTAGCTCACAGTTTGTGGAGGTTTCAGCCTGTAATCAGCTGGCTCCAAGGCAGGCTGGCCGGGCACAGGGGCAACGCTGCAAGGCTGCACAAGACAGCAAAAGCAGCAAGAGCACAAGTGGCGGGGAAGGAAGCCTCTTTTTCCTGCTTACATTGTAAATCGGCTATCACGCCCACACCATCTCTGTGCCCTCCTCCACAAGCTGAGACTGTCACTAAGTGAGGACCCTGGCCCCCTGCTGAGTCAGTTGAACTTTTAAACTTCTTAAGTTGACACAATGAACAACATCCTAGAGCCCTAAGGGCGTGTCCTTTTCATCCCAGGAGGTAGAACCGCTGGAGTCAAGTTTCTAGACTCCTCAAGTTGACACAATGTATCAACCGGAACAGGGTCTCAATTCCAGGATAAAAGTGCTGGGAGGAAGGAGGACTCGAGGACAAAGGAAAGAGACGAAAGCGGGATGGGGGAGGGCGAGGTGGAAAGGGGAAAGGGAAGGAAAGAAAAAAAGCACTCAGACGGAGGTCTGGGGAGGTTAAGCGCACTGGCCAAGGAGACCGCAGGGGGCGGGGACGAGGATCGGTTACGACCCGCAGCTGGTAATGAAGCACATCTTGCACCAGTGTCAGGCACTACCTCCTGGACGATCTCATGAACTGTCGCCGGGCAGCTCTGTCACCCCCATTTCCCACGAGAGGTCCGAGCGCCGCCGCGGCGGGGGCGGGATCCGGCGCCCGGCCTACCTGTGCAGCGGCGGCAGGTCCTGCGCCTCGCTGGCCGGGTCGGGCGTGTTGGGGATGACACCCAGGATGGTGCTCTGCAGCGACGTGCCCTTGAGCAGCCGGCTCCGCACCAGCTGCAGGTTGCGCGCCGTGTCCACGCTGGTGCGCATGGTGGAGCCGGGCAGCAGCACACCCTCGTGAGTCAGTAGCAACGGGAGTCGGCTGGGGATCTGGATGGGGCTCACTGACGACATGGCGACGGCTGCTCGCAGTTGCAGCTGTCAGAGTGAGCGGGTCAGCTCCCAGCGTCCAGCTAGGCTACCCCACCGTCCCGCCGCTGCTTCCGGCCCCACCCTACGGCCCGCCCCCAGGCCCAATTACCGCCGCTTCCGGCTCCGCGCTACGGCACGCCCCCGGGCTCAAATATCGCTGCTTCGGAGTCCGCGCTACGGCTTGTCTCCATCCCTACGTACCACCGCTTCGCTCCGCCCCCTCCCAGAGTCTCCTTAGAGGATGAGCTGCGCGGTTGGCGAGAACAGGTGCGCCGAAGCCGGCTACAACCTTCGCCTCCTCTCAGCCTCGCTCCCAGTGTGTTGGGAAGGATCATTCTGTGTACTATTGAAACTTCTTATTCGAATGGATAAATGAGTATTTTAAACCTTCCATTTGGATGGATTTCAGATTTACAAAAATGTTGCAAAGCTATAGCAAAGACGTTTTCCACACACCTTTCACCCAGTGTCCCTTGTACCGTCTTACACGATCGCGGCTCCTTATGAAAGCCAGGAAGTTGGCGTCACTGTTGCCTAATCCGAACACGTGACTCAAACTTGGCCGGTTCTCCTGTTATTGTCCCTAGGGAGATCTGAGGTCGGACCGCTAGGTCTTCTCCCATCTGTGACAGGGCTTCAGTCTTTATTGATTTTTTTCTTTTAAAAATACTGTATTTTAAAGGGTATCTGTTATCAATTTGGATTTAGCTGACGTTTCCCAGGACCACATCGATGGTGTGCACTTGGGGCGCCTGGCTGCAGTATGTGGCCGCTATTTAAGGTGACTGTAATCTTGATTACTTGGCCAAGGTGGGACCTTCCAGGGTCCTTCACTGTGAACTACTATTTTTCTTTTTGTACGTAATAAGTATCTTATTAAGTACTTATTAAGGAGATAATTCTGCATTATTTATTGAGTTCTATAAGAAAACACTTCCTATCTCTCCCATGTATTTACTTACTCCATGATTTATATTAGTGTGGACTCACGGATATTTATTTTTATGGTCATCCAATAATATTATCTATTTCTTTGCTTGAATAACAATTCATTCTGGGCCATTGGGAGCTCCTTCACGTTGAGATTTGATTTGGATTTGCCTGTAGTTTGCAGGGAAGGGTGTGCTCTCAGAAACCAAACCACTCAGATCAACAAGCACCTGCTAGTGACTGCTCTGCACTGACCCCTGAATTAATTGCAGAAGGGTAGAGAAAGTAACATAAAACTTGATCCCACCCTCACATCTCTTGGTCACGGTGACAGATCCACAGGCACTTGAGCCTGGTGCAGAGTAGACAAAACTGTATGTTTCCGTGTTAGCCACAGACTTGGGAAAGGAGAGGTAGGGTTACTAGGTGCTTTGGAAGAGACACAAAGGCAGAATTTGCAAACTCCTGGCCAAAGCTCTCTCTCTGACATGGTCCCACCTTTGTTCATTTGTTCACTAAACAATATCTTTCTGCTTAATATTTATTGTAATAGTCATTCGCTGAAAATATTCACACGTACTGTGTGCAGGATGGTGTTGTAGGTGTTGGGGGATATTTCAGGGAACAAGACAGGTAAGTTTCCTGCCTTCGTGGAGCTGACTCTTTAATGGAAGAAGCAAACAAGGAGAACAAAACAAATGAAGGAAATATTTGATAAATCCTTTAGCTGCTCACAGCTGGCCTGTCTGAAGAGGTGACGTTCGAACTGAACCCTGTACCATGAGGAAGCAGCATGCGAAGATTAGAGATAGAGGCTCGGGGACTTTTCCATGCTGAAGCAACAATTGCAAAGACCCTGTGGCTGGAATGAATTGAGGGTGTTTGAGGAACCTGCTTCTAGAATGTTCTGAGCATGAGGCCTCATAAAGTGGGTAGGGTCAGATTACAGAGGGTTCTGTAGGTGCTGTAAGGGGTTCAGGTCCTTGAACTTGATGGAAGGTCCCAGAGATTTCAGGTTGAGGAATACCACTGTTTGGCTTCTATGTCCAAAAGATAATTTTGGTTGGAGGTAATCTGATTGGATATAATTCTGTGTGGAGGCTGGAAGGTAAGGATTTGAGATCAAAAGCAGGGAGGTCAATTAGGGAGTAGTGGAGTTGTTGGGGAAGAGATGATAACTCAGACTAGAAATGGTGGAGTCAAGCTATGTCTGAATGCAGTTTCAAGAGTATACTGCTGTGTTGGACTTGAGGAATGAAGGAAAGCAGTTGCCAAGGATAGAGCCCACGTTGAAGCCTGAGGTGCAAGGGCCCAGAGAGAACTGAGCTGGTGGCTGATGATCCTGGGTATAATCTGCAGGCTGTGGATCATGTCTCTGGATGTGTACTGTGTACCTTGCCCTGCAATAGACCCTGGGAGTGATATGGAGATAAAATGTGCAGGGCCCAGGTTCATAAGAGTTTACCTTCCCATCACGCTCTCTCCAAGGGGTAGGGAAGAGAGGCTGCATTCTTTGAATGTTTCAAAAATGAGCTTCTAAATGAACTTTGTGGTATATTTAAAAAATACTTATGTTTAATGCTTTTAATATGCACACAGACCCCAACAACAACAACAACATAGGTTCTGGACACATACTAACTACTAGATTTATTTTTTAAAATACATACCCATGCTGTACTGTTAAGGTATGGCACTGTGTGGTTGTTGGGAACTGCTGGAGCTGGAAGTTCTCAGTCTTGAGAAGAACATCCTGCCTGGACAATTTCAGTCATTAGTTGCTAAGCAACATTGCCTCTCATGATACTAAATTTGCAAGGGTATGAATTCACAACCCTACTATTGTTTTTCAGTCCTCTAGCCCTCCAAGGTAAAAGGTAAAGAGGTTACTCCACCTGAGAGAGACCACCAAGTTTTCTACATGTGGTGATGGGTCCAAGTTTAAGTTGCTTGCTGGGTGAACACCTTTTTCCAATCTTGTCTGTGTATGTCTGTAATGAGGTGTGTCAGCCCACTTGGAAGAACATCAAGGATTTACATATGAAGTCTTTAGTGATTTAGTGTGTGACTTTCCTGGCCTCTGCTTTGTTAGGCATTGCACGTACTTCATTTATGCATCAAGTATTCAATAAGCACCTCCTCTGTGCTGGGTGTATTCTAGATTCAAGGATTTTCCAATGAACAAGACACAAAAAGTCCCTGGTTTCAAAGAGCTTACATTCTAGAAAAATTTTAAAAAGGAAATAAATGGCATTTTTAGAAAGTAATAAGTAAAGGAAATACAATAGAAACATATGTAGAAGGTGATAGATTTGGGAGAGGAGGCTGGTGTTGTTGCCAGGGGTTCTGTAGATCCTTTCCAGGTCCTTGGTGTTCTGAACAAAGAACTGCACAAGACACATGAAAATGGTAGTAAGGTTTTACATTTGCTAATGGTAGGAAAAGAAGTCCACTCTGCAGAGTGAGAGCAGGCCGCTAGAGAGTTCATAGCAGCCACAAGGTTATGTGTCCCTCATTCTTCAAGCTGACGTCACATCTAGGCTGTCCTATCAAAAACCTGATCAATTTAGCGCCAGGAGAAATGAAGAAGCACTTTCTGACTGCCCTGGGTACAGGGCTTGGGAACTGTCCCCTGCATGTGTCCTGGAGTTCTGTGATTGACAACTCATACCCACTTGTTCAGCTCCTACTAGACAGCATGTTCTAGTCAGGTTATTTTGAGGAGCTGGTGTTTGTTTTTTTTTTTTTTTTGGTTTTCTCCGGTACCGGGAACCGAACTCACGACCTTGCGCTTGCCAGGCAGGCGCTTTTGCCGCTGAGCTAAATCCCCAGCCCCGAGGAGCTGGTGTTTGAGTTAAGACCTGAATGACAAGAAAGGACCATCTCTGAAGGGGCTGGTGGAGCTGGGGGAGTGAAAATGTTCCAGGAAGTGATTAGGACAAATGTGAAGGTTAAGTTGGGAAGGAGTTGCCCAGTTTCTAAAACAGGAGAAGGCCAGGGACCCGGAGGCAGGGATTTGGCACTGTCTTAGTTTCTTGCTCGTTGCAGAGACACGATACCTGGCGCACCCAACTTAAAGGAGGAAAGGTTTATTTTGGTTCACACTTCGTAGAGCTTTCCGTCCATAGTCCGCTGGCCTCAAGGCAGGGCAGCAGGGCAGAGGAGAATTGCTCCTGACACAGCAGTGAGAGGCAGGGAGAGAGAAGAGGGGGAGGGAGATAGATCCTACCAGGCCGCACTCCCAGGGACTGCCTCCTCCAACCAGGATTCACCTCCCAACATCATATTTAGCCACCACTCACCCGAGGTGCAGTCACCAAAAGCTCCACCCGTGAGCATATGAAGCTCGAGGGGGCATCTAGATACAAACCCTCATGGCCATCAACAGGCTGGGCAGTCACTGGTCTCCAACAGCTATTGGAAATTATAGGAGGAAGTAAATCTAAAAGCAGAGGAAGTTAAGCAGCATGGCAGGTCCAGGAAGAAGAGCACAGCCTAGTTGCTTGTAACTTCTTCAGGGCCTGGCTTGCAGGCCCTCGGCTCCTTTGCCACTAGGCAAATTGCCCTTTTCTGTACCTTGCTTGCACTCATGACCTTTGCCCTGTGGGATGGCGAAAGCACTGCGCTGAAAGCATCTATTTCCTCTCTGTCTCCTGCTACTCGTGTTCCCATGGCCATTCTGACCACACTCTTGGTCTTGCTGCTAATTAAAATAAGTAAAATTCAGCTCCAGCTTCTTCCTGAGAGGAAGCTGGGAACTCTGTGGAGATGCCAAGGGAATTCTGGCAGGCCCCGGAAGTCAGTCCAGGCAGGCCTTGTGAGCTGGGAGGAGGCCCAAGCCATGTGGCCATGCTCCCGGTTCACTGGGAAGAGCAAGGAAACATGTTCGTTATACACATTCACAGTTTCTTATTTTTTATTTGGTTTAGTTTTCCCTGTTGTTAGCTTCCTGGCCAAAGCTACACAGGAAAGAGACCTGTGAAACCCTGGTTGCATGTCTTTGCAGGAATATACGAATAAACCAGGTTGGCAGATCATATTCTTACAGCTACAAAGAGAGAAAAACGAACACCTCAGTCCCTAAGAACTGGTCTTCCCTGTGACCCCCACTTGTCAGTGAGCAAGGGGAAAATCATTTGTTCAGGGTTAGCATTTTAAACTCTTCTTTGATAGATAGTTCCATTAAGTCCTGCTCAGTACAGGCTGGGTCTCAGAGGAGTCTGGTCTGGGCAGAGCGTCTTTTGCTCCTAGGCTTTTCCAGCTGATGCCTTATCCACCTGGTGGCTGACTGTCCCGCTGGCAGGAAGGACTGCTCAACCTGGGCTCGTCCCTGAGTGAGGCTTTCCACGTTCCCCACGTTACTAGGCCTCATCCATCTCTGCATTGCTGAGCTCCCTCCCAAACCCTCCCATGATTCCCTGTTGTTTGCAGCCTGTCTGATCTAGTAGGGTCACCCACATTTTCAAGTGGCTCATGTTCCTGTCTACACTACAGTGGACCCTGGAAATTGTCATTGTCAGCCTTGGCCAGCACACGTACACAGAACACTTGTGAGTGAACTGGAAAGAGGGCATCCTAATGGGCAAAGAATTTTTAAAAAGTCAGTCCTTATGGGCTCAACAGTGTGAGCCTGTAATCCCAGCACTCGGGAGGCTGAGGCAGGAGGGTCGCCATGAATTCAAGGCCAGCCTGAGCTACATAGTGAGTTCAAGGCCAGCCTGAGCCACATAATGAGACACCCCCGCAAAAGTCAGTCCTCCTTTTAAATGGGTGTAGTCATGCGTTGCAGAAGCCATATTAGCTCATGGGAAATAACCACCAAAATGGCAGGAGTTTTTGAGAGCCTTTTAAACACAAATATTACTAAAGTTTTAGCTATATGAATTTAGGAGTTAAGTAAGTTATTTTTAAAACAAGGTAATATTCAGAACTTATCACCTCATAATTACTTTATTTTTTCTGTGATTTGAACTACCAAAGCTCCATCCCACTGTACACGTGCGTGGTGTAGATGCTGAACAGTGACCTAAGCGCTTCTCTTCCAGACACAAGAGAAGTTTCGTAAGAACCCGGAAATCATTGCCAGTGGAGTATTTGCACCACAGACATTGTCAAGGGCTACAGATCAGGCCTTGATTTATTATTTTGTTGATTGTGTAGGTATAAGGGGAAAATGGCAATGTTCAAAGTGCAGATTAAATTTACAAGTGTGCGTTGTCTGTAGCAGTTACATTATGACTAGGGGGAAAGGAAGAGGAATATTTTTCGGCATTTGAAAACTATTCAGCAGAGGCATTCAGGTCACTGATACATGAGCGGAAACCCATCCAACGATGTGTATCATTGGTATTTCACTTTCCTCTGCATCATTAACACAATGCAAAATGTCAAGCAGTGCTCGAGGGGGAACTGTACTCATTTGCCACCTACAACACAGATGGGGCATATTTATTGGCCGCCAGGGATGCAGCACCTTGTCCAGGTGCATAACTCGAAGTTCGATTTACAATGACTCCACCCCTCAGCTTTGTCACCACTGGGAATCTTTGTGTGGGGCTAAACTGTCTAGTGTTACACCACAACCTGACCTCAGGCCCCCATTCTGCTGAATCCTGCCAATTTTACCTCCATGTGTCTGAGTACTAGGTTGCCCACTGAAGCCAGAAAACTGAGATCTTTAACAAACAGCATGTAGCACCCCCCTTACCCAAAACACCTCCTTCTCCCTCCCATAGTCCTGGAAGTACCCACATTGTACATTACCTAGCAAGGAAACCTCAAGGCCTAGTGCCAAGGTAAGGAAGTCTACTGTATCAGGCAGTGAAAAACAGATACAATATATAATATACAAATGTACAAGAATTTACAAGATCAGCTCAGGACAGTCACCCACAGAGCCCGATGAGGAAGCATGCAGAGGGTGTCTGCACACTGGAGACTGACGGATTCAGTCCCAGGTGTGGAGCCCACTGCAGCGCGCAATGCGAGTTGGTATCAGGAGGCCGATGGGTCCGTGATAGAGGCTGAAGCATCTATGCTGGAAGTGTGAAGGGTCCAAGGCAGAAGCCAAAGAGTCTGCACTAGAAGCCAGGAGATGATGTTCAAGCTAAAGGTGAAGACTGGAGCTCCTCCGAAGAAACAGGAGCAGATCCGTCCTTCCTGATTTCCGCTTTATAACATTCAGGCCTAGAGCTACTCTAGGGCCGGTCCTCTATATCCCAGGGTGTGGAACTGTTGAGCTGATTTAGTTAAGCTTCTAAATTTCTTAAATGACACAATCGACCCTTACATCTACCTAGCATAGTCTATAGGAGAATTCCAGAAATGGACTCTATGAGATTTGATTGTGATTTGTAAAAGGAATTGGAATGCGAAGAGGTGGGGTGAAAGAATTCAGGGAATCTTCTCTCAGAACAGTGGGTCAGTGTGTAATCCATTCACTTGAAGCACAATCCAATATTTGAGCGTCAGAAGCCGAATCTAAGCACCAGAACCAATCACATACCTTATGAGGCCTGGTACAGAATGAAAGTATGGGGCTCCTTGTTCAAATTTTCTAAGAATTCCAGGATGGCACTAGCACAGCTGTAAGCCAGCCTTGCAGTCCATCTGAGCACAAGACCTTGCGCAGCATAGGCTGTGCCCTGAGCACAACGGCCCTGCTACACACGCTCCTCTTATTTCTGTCTCTTGAGAACTGTTTTAAGTTATCACCCCTTCTCCTGCACTAGGCACATGGATATTTCTAGATTAGCCAGAGTGAGCCAATATACTCAGAAGGCAAAAATGAGAATGAAAAATATATCCGGACTTCCCCTGGAATCTCGGAAAACCAAGAATCAGACAATGACAAGATGATCGCCTTTCATTTATTTCTCTACTCCACTCCATTCTGTTTGTTCGTTTGTTTATTTTTTGAGACAGGGTCTCGGGCTGTAGTGCAGGCTGGCCTTGAGCTTACTATGTAGTCCAGGCTGAAACTTGCAATGAGCCTCCTGCATCAGCCTCCCAAGCGCTGGGATTACAGGCATGCACCACCACACCTGGCCCATCATTTATTTACTGGCCACTTCCTATTCTCCCTGGATGACCTAAGCCCAAGAGATTCAGTTGTGAGCAAGGCAGAACCATCCCTGCCTTGGTGAGACTTCCAGTTTGGTGCAGGCCATTAAGCCTGAACAAATACTCAAACAAATGTACAGTTACAGATTGGGCTAAGGCAACAAGTGTGGGTTTCTGAGTGGGCTTTTGAGGGATCAAAAGAAACCAACCTGGCCCAAGGGTACAGGATGGGGAGCAGGGAGGGGAGGGTGGTTAGAGGAAGTTTCTCTCTGTGATCTTTGGCTGAACCTGAGTGGATGGCAAGAGAGAGCCAAGGGAGAGCCGGACATGGTCCTGAACCCTTCCCTGAGGGTCCCATTCCCTCTCAAAAATCTCACTCTAGCCTGGCTCACAGCTGCTCCTGCCCGCAGCCTTTTAAGATTCTCTGGTTCTGGGACCCAAAGAATTGGCAGGACAACTGGAAATGCCCAGAGGAGGACGTCCCAGGTTCCCCGCCCTTCCTGTCTTGTGAGTCTTGGCATTGACATGCTCTCATGACTTAGCTATGAGCGGGTTTCTGTGCCATTAAAACACTGGGAAATTGAACTCACTGGATATTCACAGTGATCATAAATTAGATCAAGGAATCTTGTCCCATAGTGGTTGACACTTGCTGTTTTCAAAGGGACCTCAGGCTTCCATAAATAGTTGAATGATAATCTTTTGTCATGCCACCTCCATGCTTACGCATACCTCTGTCCATCTAGGATCTGTCTGCCTAATCTCTGTATCTAACCGTCCTCTGTTGCATACTTAGCTATGTATTTATCTATAACAATGTGATAAGCACCTGTAAGCCCATCACCAACCACCTTGGACCTTGATAGTTATGTCATCATCTCATTTCCCGAATAAATCCCTTCCTGTGCTTTTCTTTTTTTTTCCTTCAGTACTAGGGATTGAATCCAGGGCCCTCATACTGAACCATATCCCCAGCCCCAATTTATTTATTTTTTCCTGCGTTTTCATTTCATTTAAGTCTGGTTCTTGCTAAGTCACTCAGGGTAGGCTTGAACTTGCAATCCTCCTGCCTCGGGCTTTCAAGCGCTAGAGTTACAGGTGCACACCCCTATGCTGGGCCTGGAAGCCTTTCTTTAGAAAGGTGGGTGTGGAAGAGCTATCTGTGTTTGGGCGGTGAACATTTCCTCAGGACAGTATTTAGGAGATCTGAAACTGACACCCTTTCGGTTTTTTTTTTTCAAGAACACTTGTGCTTTCAAAAGTGGCCCTTGTAACCTGCAGGAGAGGAAGCCCAAGGCCCGGGGAGGGCAGGTCCACCCTGGGGGGATGCTTTCTGGACAATCTCCCCCCCCCCCCCCCCACCCGTCTTCCCCTTTCTCCCCTCACCCTCCCATCCTCCTTCTCCCTGTCCCCTCCTCCTACTTCTCTCCCCCTCCTCCCTCCCACCTTCCCTCCCCCTGCTCCCCTCACCCCTTGGAAGGAGCTAATTTGGAAGCTCAGTTTCCCCCTCCTCGAATTTCCTGAAAGTAGGGATGTGGATAGGGCCACAGGCTCTGGGAACAAAGAATCAGAGCGCAAGGTCAGCGTCCTAAAGCACCCAGGGCCTGCCCCACCCGGTAGGCTCTAGTAAAAAGGTTTCCCCACCTTGGAGCCTTTGCTCAGAGTCCTGCTCCGCCCCGGGGCAAGAGGCCTGAGCAAGACCACCCTCGCTGCCTTCCTCCCACTCCCTCACGTCTGTCTGGAAGGCTGAGCCCTGGTGGGCGGTGGGCTACAGAGGAGAGGTCTGGTGGGGGGAAAGGGACCCCAGCGTCCTGCCCACAGGCCCACCACTCCCTATTTCTTTTCCCTAAAGCGTTTTCCCACATTTTGTTTACATTGGTCTATCTTTGGAGTACATAATGATTGTATTCAGGGTGGGGAGTTGGTATATCCACAAACACACCTTCATTTCTTATTTCCCCAAATATTCTTTTGAGTATAATTTTGTTTATACTGAAACATGTAACCTTAAAAGCAATTTAGAAAATAAAAAGGAAAATCATGGTACCAGCACATTAATTCAATCATTTCAGCTATATTCTGAGTTATTCTCAAAGATATGACTTTATCACTTTTGTTTACTTCTTATTTCATTTTAGTGTTTTTGTTAAAGATACATAGAAAAAGGTGAGCACACTCCTGTAATTCTAGCACTCTGCAGGCTGAGGCAGGAGGATTGCCTTGAGTTGAAGGCCAGCCTGATTACATAGGGAGATCTTGTCTCAAAAAAAAAAAAAAAAAAAATCTTTCTCCTTTTCCAATTCCAATCCCTTCTTCAAAGGCAACCACTGTTAACAATTTAATATAAATAATAAATATAAATGTTTTATCTTTTTTTATAAATTAAAAAAATCTGAACTTTAAAATCTACTTGTGGCCCTTTTTTCTTGCTTAAGACAGCTCAAACTCTTTCTATGTTTTAAATATAAATTAACCCTATTTTTAAGAAGCTTCTACCTTATGTTCTGTAGTATGGGACGATCATAGTTTCTTTCATTATAATTCCTCTGTTAATAGTTAATCTCACCCCCCCCGCTTTTAATTTAGAAATAATAGTCATGAAAAAACATTTCTATCTGATGACCAAATTATGAGTTTTGCATAGTCATAATGTGTGCTTTTGTAATCTTTCATCTCTGTGACCCTCTGCCAGGTCTCCAGCCCCTCACCTTCTGGTTGACACTGTCACGGCTCAGCCTGTGGTGAACACATAATTGATGAACACATAAAACAAATGAAAATTGCTGGGCTACTGGGTGGAGGAAAAATGCCAGTTTCACCCAAGAAAGAAAAACTATGCTTGATTGTTAGTTTAGTTTGAAAACAATGTATGCATCTAAGAACGCTCTGAACTTTGCAACACCTGCTTGCTGGAACCAATAGGTTCCGCTTTTTGCCCTTGCAAAAAGATCTTTTCACCTGCTCCAACCAGGATGTGGTTTTCAGGCTTAAAAGCTCAAACTTTCTTCAGTTCAGAGCTGCTCAGCATCTCCCTGCATGGAGAACAGACTGACAGCCGCCGGCCCGGCTAATAAAGGCTCTTAAAATTCCAATTTGGATTCTGGTCTCGGTTCTTTATTCAGGGTAACCCATTACACAGACTGACAGCCACCGGCCCGGCTAATAAAGGCTCTTAAAATTCCAATTTGGATTCTGGTCTCGGTTCTTTATTCAGGGTAACCCATCCCTCACAATCTGGGATTTCTGGAACCCCTTAGGTGAGCACTGCACCACCCTGCTATCAGCCCACGACCCCAAGGCCAAAAATGTCAAAAGGTAGAGTCACATTAGGCAACCACTGGGTGGGTCTAAGGCCGTCTTCCGGGGGGACAGTGACCAGGGATGGGTAAACAGAGGATCTGTCCTCAGGCATCTTGGCTCTTTTCTCATGCCAGACAGGGAATTCTAAAATGGGTTCATGAATCTCCTGAAATGTGTCTAGCTTTTATACATATGGCTGGTGATCTTTTTTCTGAAGCAAGAGTCACATCTATTGTTTCAGCGTTAGGATTAAATCCAGGGCCTTTGCACTGAATTATATCCCCAGCCATTGACTGCTAGACTGACTAATTGAGATAAGGTCTTACTTTGTTGCTAAACTGCCCGACTAAACTCAAATTTGTGGTCCTCCTGCTTCTGAATTCCAGAGTTCTGAGATTACAGGCATGCATCACCACGCCTGGTGAAAAAAATCGCATATTTTATGAGATTTGTTAAAGGACTCATGAGATTTGTCAACGGGCTCAATAGTTAGCTAAGAAAGCTAGAAATGGATGCTTCTAGCACTCTTTAATGGTTTCTTCTGGGTCGCAAATCCTGAGTTGCCCTGGGTACTACGGGTTGGGTAAATGGCCCAGACTATAGGTCCTCAACCCACCACTAACTCTCATGTGATTAAATTCCCACATTACCCCCAAGGTAATGGGAGGAGAATGTGTGTGTGTGTGTGTGTGTCGGGGGGGGGGTGGAACAATTGATTTTACATGTCCTGTGTTCCTTTAAACATCTTAGCTCCCCCATGAGAAGAGAATGGATGTTTCCAGTTATATTCTAGGAAATTATAGGCAGACCAGCTTCTCTGGAAAGGTCACTTAATAGTCAGGGAACTTAGTGAAATGTTGTACATTATAGTCAGGTCTTGGAGATTAACAAAGCAAATTGTGTAATTAAGGAAAAGAGAAAACCTCTTGTACAGAAACTGGTTAAACTTTGACCTGCACTTCTCAGACTTGCTCAGAAAAAGAAAAAAAAAAAAGAAAAGAAAAGAAAAGAAAAGAAAAACAAAAAATGGTTCCAGGGAAAGCTTTTTGGAATAACATCAGAAATTGGTCAGAATCTGGCCTCTTGCCATGATATTGGGCATATGGCCCTTTCTGACCGCTATGTTTTTAGGTATAAAATATAGTGGTATGTCTTAGTTACTTTTCTCTTGTTGCTGGGACAAAAGACCCAGCACCCAAAATTAAAGGAAAGGTTGAGTTAGCTCACAGTTTGTGGAGGTTTCAGTCCATAATCAGCTGGCTCCAAGGCAGGGTGGCGTGGCACAGGGGCAACAGTTTAAGGCGGCAGAAGACAGCAACAGCAACAAAAGCAAAAAGGGGAGGAGAGCAAGCCTCTTTTCCTCCTTTACATTGTATGCACAATTCCTTTAACAGATGCATAGCACAGAAACAAGCAGGAGGTCAAGCTGCTGCAGATTGAAAGGAGACTCCAGCAGACTAACCGTAAACAACCTTCGTGTGGGGCCACCAATGAATGGATAAATAGCATGCAGTGAACATGCATAATAGATGCAATTCAGCCAGAAAAAGGATGAAAGGCTGTCATTTGATGCAACATGGCTGGGACTAGAGGTCAGTTGTGTGAACTCTTCCAGGCATGGAAAGGCAGGCATTTCCTGTCCCCGCTCCCATATGAATCCGAAATAGCTGGTCTCATAGTTGGGGGCAAAAAGGCGGTTATGAGAGGCTGGGGACAGAGGGACAGGGAAGGCTGACAATGGGTTTTAGATTATGGTCAGAGAGGCTGTTGGGAGCTGAGAGGCTCTTGGGAGCGGAGAAAGCCTGCTGGAGCGGTGGAAGCTGTAAGGAGCTGTTGGTTCTGTTGGAGGAGCTTCTCATGCTGACTTTCCTGATGAACTTGGCTGTTTTCATCCTCCAAGGAGCCTGGGAGTAGCTTCAGTTCACTTTGGGGGAGCTCTGGTCCTCACTCTGAGCATCGATTCCTGGCTCCGGAGGGGAAGAAGGTGCATAGCTCAGTCTTCTAAAGAAGTTTGCTGCATTGGTTTTCCTGATGGGAACTCAGCTGCCTTCACCACTGGACGAGCTTGGGACCTCCTTGTTGCTGAGGATGGCTGTGATACTTTTCAGGGGAGCTCTGGTTCTTACTTTGAGCATTGCTTCCTGGCTCCAGTATAGATCCCTCAGCCTGCTGGCAGAGATCCTTCATCCCACTGGCACAGATTTTCTAGATTCCATCACTGACCTTTGGGCCTTCCCAGCACAGATCTGTGAAACATGCCTGCATGAGATATTGTTATGGGCTCTGGGCCTCCAGTTGGATTTGTGGGAGGCATTGTTATGAGCTCTAGACCTCCAGCTGGATTCATGTAGGACATTATCATGGGATCCAGGTCCTCGGTTGGATTCCTGCTCTATAGTGTATAGACAGATTTCCTGCACTTTTTTGTATATCACTCTTTGGGTGAATAACAGAAATAATCTTGTAATATATGTGTCCTTACTATGTTATTATTTCCCTTGCAAAAATATGCCCCAAAGCAACACAGTCAGGCAGCGAGAAGAGTAGGACTGTGTTCTATCATAGGAAGGTGTCTGTAGGTGCATATTTTAAAAAGCTAGGAGGAAGGACTTTGAATGTTCTTTCAACAAAGGAATGATAAATGATAAATGTTTGAAGAGATAGATGTGTGTGCCTTGATCTGAACATTATACATGTATTCATGTATTCAAATATCCCATAGCACCTGGTAAATGTATATAATTTTAATGTATTTGTTAACACAATTGAGAAATAATGTAAAAAAAACCAACAAAACCCAGGCCTATCAGATTTGCCTTTTAAATACAAGGTGTAGACCTTATTGGATCTTGATTCAGACAAACTAACTATAAAAATATTTTTGAAATAATTAGAGAACTTTGATTATATACAAGGCATGACGTTCTATTAAGGAGTTATTGTTGCTATGGTTGTATGATTTTTTTTTTTTAATTTTTTTTTTTTTTCTCCGGTACCAGGAACCGAACTCACAACCTTGAGCTTGCCAGGCAGGCACTTTTGCTGCTGAGCTAAATCCCCAGCCCCGGTTGTATGATTTTTAAAAGTATTATCTGGAAGAAATACATGTTGAAGCACTTATACATGGAGTGATATGTTTGAGATTTGCTTTAAATACCCCAGAAGAAAAGGGCATGGAGGAGTAGAGATGACAACAAAAAGGGCAAGATGTTGCTTGTTCCTGATGGAGGACCATGAGCACTGGGAATCCAGCAGTGTTGTTCTGTGCTTTTGTTGAGTTTGGAAATTCCTGCCATAAAGCTTTGGTTATTGAGACCCAGGGCAGTTGGTGACCCATGCAGAGACCCCCCCTTGGCTCACTTTTCCTTTTTTCTGGCTCCGCCATCTTTGGGATGAGGAAGTCTTAAGGCTTGGGTGTGAAAAGCCTTCCTTGCTTTAAGTGGCGCTGTGGTTCCAAAGCACCAGGAGGATTTTGCATGTGTTTATAGGCTGCTGCTTCTGTATTACAAGTGTACTGGTGTTATAGGCAGCTGAGTTAGATAAAAATATTATAGGCAGTCAGACAGGGCCAGGCCCTCAAAGGGGCCAACATGGAAAACAAGATACCCTGTAAATAGAGATGTATTTGCTGTGGGCCAGACCTCAAGACAAAACTAAACAAATGCAGCCGTATACCTCCTTGAGGTGGACATAAGGGACTGATATTCTAATCACCTTAAAAAAGCCAGGAAGAGTCACCAGCCCAACCCCCTAGAGGAAAAGCCCGTGTTCTGTGTTCGGACCCACTGCTACGTGACTCGCTTCTCCATTTGATCTCAGTTTAATCAATTTGGCCTAAACAATTATACTTGTAATCTTGTTGGCTGACCATAGTTTTGCCCCACCTCATGCCCACTTTGTAATTCCCATTTTCCCCCTATCCTGGACCTGCCTCACCTTGTGGTTTTGCTCTATAAAGTACCTGGGAAGGGCAAGGTCCTTGGCAACCCACTCAAGCCCCCTTCTGTCCCTCTCTTGGACAGAAGCTTTCTTTCCCTCAATAAATATATTCTGCTCTTAACCTCCATTGTTCCTAAAATTCATTCTTTGATTTTAGAGAACATGAACTCATCCCAGATATCGTTCAGGTTGGGAGTTTTTTCCCCTGTATCACTGGGACCAGTGGGTGCAGACCGGGTGAGGTTCGGGGACTCTGGGCTTCAGAGACCAGAGATGGAGCTGCAAGGGACAGACTAAAGCCCACACCTGGAGTTGGGGATGATGTTGTCCCTCAGCTGTGTTCAGAAAATGAGCCCGTTGTCGGGGAGGAGAGCGTCGTTGTTAGCAGTTTCCACTCTCACCAGTTGTTCAATTCAGACTTTAGCCTTGCCATTTAATTACTGGGTGACTTTGAGCAATGTAATTATTCTTTCTGTGTTCTAATTTCCTGAACCCCAGAACACCTTCAGGTGTAAAATAGAGAGCACACTGCCCAGAGGGTAACATTAAGTTCGTCTGTAAAACACTCTGGGTGCACGTTTACTGTGTTGAGAAATGGCTGAGCACCTTGGGAACGGAGGCTGAGGAACTCATGACTCTGTGTGTCATGGGTAAGATGAATGGACTCTATGCCCTGCCCCCCAAGTCCTGATTTCGGCGGGATGCGGAGTCTGACTGGTCAGCTGGGGTTACATCCTCATGGGTTGGCCGGAGGATGGTGGGCACTTTGATGGACAGACCAGTCCGTACAGGGCAATGGTAGGTGAGAGTCTCCCCGGAAGAAAACTGAGGCACTGTGACCATCTCAGGGGAGAGTGCGTGTAGATCAGGAAGAACAGCGACTGGCGACTCCATGGATGGCTGACGTGCAGGTGGTTAGTATGCTGAATAGTTGCTCCTGTTTCTCTCGATCTATCTCCGGCATTTCCCTCCCTCCCTGTGCTCCAGTGTGGCACCTGTATGAGACTTCACATTAATGGGGTCCCCTTGCCCCTGGGCATTAGGTCCAGTTTGACCCCTGGTGGCAGGGTTGAGATTCAGAACTGGGTCCGCTGAACCAAGTCTCTTCCGGCATGGCTTTGAGCTTCTTGAGGATAGGACTGTGCCTCAGTCTGTTTCGATTCTTAGCAAATCCCTGACATTGACCTCAACATCCCAGTCCTTCTTTCAGGCAAGAAACATCAAACATGCACCTGAAAGAACTGGGAGGTCCAAATGATCCAAACTCCTGTTTCCTTGTAGATGCTGATTATATCAAAGATCCTAGAGTGCTCCGAAGACCACTCAGGCAGTACCGTCCACGGCGTGGCCCCTGCTGTGCTCTTTTCCTTATGGAGCATCTGAAGCCTCTGAGTCCATGCTCCAGTTGGACCATTGGCTAGCAGACGGCCATCAGATTCTGTGCAGTTGTTTCCTCCTCTGCCTTTGAGAGGCTCCTGTAGTTTAAGTCTCTGATACACATCACCTCAGGAGAGGTGAGTGACGGGAGTGGTATATCCCAGGCCCCAGGTCCTTACATGCTGACGTCACTGCATTGGGGGCTGGGGAGAGGGAAGAAGAGGGAGTTAGTTAGGAGGGGAAGAAGAGAGGGAGAGAAGTTAACTCCTAGGCTTAGCATTTATAGCATCTACAACTGCCCCTGAGGGCAGCCAGCGCTTGCATTCGGAGTCCTGGAAAGGAGCCATCTACTCACTCAACAGTCACCTTCTGGGCCAGATTCTGCCCTGGGCCCTGGAGAGACAGCTGTGGACCAAGGAGACACTGCTAAGTAGAAGTCCAGGGGGAAGTGCATCCCCTGAGCAAGCTTGGGGATGAGCTTGGAGCTTAGGTAATTCTTCTAGGGAAGGCGATCACAGGTAACCTTCTCTGAGTTTTAATTTTCTTAGATGCAAAAGAAGAATCCTGCCACATACTGCTCTCCTGGTGACTTTGCTCACCCCACTATCAGATTAAATAACCCTTAGTTATTGCGGGCTGATCAGGCCTGCAATCTCCCAAGCAAGTGGACGGCAAAGGCATAAGTAAATGGGACAACTGTAGTGATTTCAGGGCTCCAGGAGGGTCCAACTCTCTTACAGTTTTGATATTCTCTGAGTTTAGACAAAGATGTCTCTGGGCAGCCCGTATTTATTTGGTTTACAAACAGTGGAGGGGGATACTCAAGAAAACGCAGGAATCTGAGTAGGACTTGGGGAACCCTTTAGGGACTTCTCCAAGCAATACATTATGTTAATTTAGGAGAACTACACTATCTCCAGGAAGGCCTTCACAGCAGGAGTGAGATATCTGCAGGTGCAGTCTCCTTTAAGTTAGTTTGGTTTGGAGCCAGATATCCTCAGCTGTTGCCCTATCTTTTGTTTTGAGGTGTTGCAGCTTCACAGGCCAATACAGGTCTCAGTGGTGACCAGTGACCCATAGAGGTTCATTTACTATAAGTCCGCTGCGCATCTTTAGACAAGGTACCTAAGCTTCGGACAGCTCACAAGTAAACATGGAAAGCCAACTGGTTAATATTAAATCCTGCTCAGAGCCACTTTGTAGTGGTCTTCATCACCCCCCACCAGCCTTTTACAATCCCCTTTATTCTTCAAGGCATGGCTTGGGTGCCCCATCCTTATCGATGGTATCTCCAAGCCCCATCTCAGTCCCTCTGCTTACTAATTGTTACAGTTCTTGTTGTACTAATCTGCCTGCCCCACTAATAGGAATTCCCTTTAAAGACACAAACAATTTCTGACTTACTACTTTATCCTGCAAAAGACCCAGCACCTGAATCAGACAGGCCAGGTATCTGTAAAACATCTGCTAAATTAACCACTGCCATTGAGAAGCTTTCTGTAAATCCACATGCTTACAAGCATCAGAAATTTCCAGTAGCCACCAACACTATTGTTTTTCTTCACTATTACGTTAGTTCTGCTGTTATGGTTTCTGTCTAGATGTCCCCCCAAAGCCTCGTGCAGTTGTGGGGTGGGCTTCTAGAGTTTATGATTGATCCATGACCCAATGCTGGGATTATGGATGTGAGTGCTACACCCACCCTGGGGAGGATAGTTTGCACACAATGTAAGCGAGGGACAGAGGCTGTCTGCTGCCACTCCTCCCCTTTTGCTCTTGTTGCTTTTGCTGTCTTCTGCCGCCATGAACTGTTGCCCTCTGCCATGTGCCACTCTGCCTTGGAGCCAGCCAAGTATGGACTGAAACCTCCACAAACTGTGAGCTAAATAAACCTTTCCTTCCTTCATTTTGGGCATTGGGTATTTTGTCTCAGCAATGAAAGAAAAGTAAGTAAGACATCCGTGATGCTAGCTGATTTGACCAGCCTTCCTGATGCTATGGAATAATAACAGAGCCAACCTGACAGGACCGTTGTCTCAGGGTTAGATGAGCTAGTGCGTGTGAAGCACGTAGAAAGGGGGTAGTGATCCATGCGTTCAACTGTACAGTCACTAGTTCTCTTAGACCTTGAGCTTGGGGTCTGCGCTGCCCTTTTCACTTGGCCACAGTTAATGGCTCCCCGTTTATCTTGGGAAAGTCATTACAAAATTGCTAAATTTCTCCAAACTAGGTGTTGTCCCAGGTGCTGCTTATGTTAGTTCAGTTAGTCCTCCAACACCCTCTTGTGTGGTGGAGTCTACTGTGGCTCCCCTTGTCACAGAGGAGGAAGTGGAGGCTAGGACAGTGAGTGACTTCTCCAGGGTCACAGGACTGGGATGCAGCGAGCCTGGAGTTGACACAGTGCCTCTACTCCAGAATCAACCACTGTGCCTTCTTGCCTCACTCAGGGGACCTGGGCTGAGGCCAGCTGTGGCCCCTTCTGCATACTATATGCAAGCCCCCATTTCCCCACCCTGCACAGAAACCTACAATAAAATGACCCATTTGAAAGTGGAGATGGAACTCAGTACTCAAATGAGGATTTCTAGAGTTGTTTTCCAAGCACTTTAATTTTAAACTAACTTAAGAAACTCACCTAAATGTATTCTCCAAGGAAACAACAACAGAATTGTAGAGAGGATGACCTAGACTGGATCACTTCCTCTATGCCCAGAGTTAGCACAGTCATCAATTTGGTCCATGTTCTTCTAGACTCTTTAACGTACATTTAGATACATTTGTAAGTTATCCATAGAAAAGATATTGCATTGTGTGTGTATGTGTGTGTGCGTGTTTACATAAATGGTACTACATTTTACATAGTGCCTTGCAATTTGGTTTTGCTGCTAGAAAATGTACAATATAGGTTTGGGGATGTTTTTACATCTGTGGTACTACAATTGCTTCTGTGGTTTGTAGCTTTTTGACCCTGCTTCATTATGTTTGAGCTTTCCATGTTAGCACACCTAGGTCTTCCTCAGCCCTTTTCTATGAGCCCAAATCATAATATACTACTTTCAGTGTGCTAAAATAAATCATTTTATGCCCTTTTCCCACTCAGTTCTCAGATGAACATGATGAAGTATGTGGAATTATTATCCCATATTACTGATGAGGTTCATTGGCACAGAAAGGCAGAATAATTTGTCTATGTCATTTTTCATCACTGTGGCAAAATACTGAGAAAAAAACTTAAAGGAGGAAGGCTGTATCTTGGCTTATGGTTTCAGAGAGTTCAATCCATGGTACCGTGGCTTTGGCCGGAGGCCAGGCAGAACATCATAGCAGCAGGAGCATTGACAGAGGAGGCTTCTCACTCCATGACAGCAAGGAAGTAGAGAGAGAGGAGGGAGCTCGGAACATGATAACCCTTCAAGAACATGCCCCAAGTGCCCTGCCTCCTGCAATGAGGCCCCATCTCCTGAAGTTTCCATCATTTTCCCATGATGCCTCCAAATTTCAGCCCTATTAGTGGAGTAACTCATGGATGAAGTCAGAGCACTCACTATCCAATCACCTCCCAAAGCTCACCTCACCTCTGAACACCACTGCAGAGGGATCGCGCCTCCAACACATTGCTCCTCGGGACATTTCAGGTCCAAATCATAACAGGTGTTCTGCCTCCTAACCTTCCTGTCAGGAGAGGGCATGCCAAGACCCCCAGCTACCCATCCTGGGTCCCTGGAGAGGTGATGCCTGTGCCCATCGTACAGGCCATTGGCTTCTTCACCAGTGACATGGACTCTCTGTTGGGGGGTGGTGCTCATGGCCCCATGTTGCTGCTTATGAGCTCATCACTGGCTGGCTGCCATGCTGCCTGCTCATCCTTGGACCCACTGTACTCATTGCTATGGCTTGCTACCTCCTAATTTTCCTTCTTGATGTAACCTCTTTTTTTGACACCCATTTGATGTTGGATATTTCCCAGCATTCCTGGGACTCTGGAACCTGAATACCATTAGTGAGAGGTTCTACTGGCATCGATTTTCACTACACTGTGGTCAGGACTTAGCTTCACTTCTTACCTCTTACAGCTCAGCAGCCACAGTGTTTGTACTAAGAGGTGAAGAAGATGCGGGCCCACCTTGGAGCTTTCTGAGGCACACACACCCTCAGTGATCCCACAGCATCTTTAGGAAGGGTCCCTGAGCTCCATCTCTCCTCCCAAGTGACAGGGAGTTTTTTTCATATTTTCTCAGCCACGGCCCTGCTAGGATCTGGAGGCTTTGCACATGGGCCATGTCTATGCATGGGTTTGGTCTTCTGGACAATTCAATGCTCATCTTTCTCCTTTCCCCACCCTATGTGACTGCACAGCTGAGAGGGGTGCAGCCGCAGGACCCACCAGGATAGGGGTGGCTATGCAATTAGGACCCTGGCAGTTGCCACAGTGCCTTTAGGCTGAGAATTCTTAATGGAGGTGTCTGCCTGACCCTGAATGAGGGTCCTGGAAATGCACTTTATTTTTTTTAATCTTAATCTTTTTACTTGTACATGTTTGCAGTATATAATGATCACATTCATCATGGGGGATTTGTACATGTACATGACACATCTTAATTTTTTTGTCCCCTTCCTCTCCTTTTCCTATAACCTTTCTTCACCTTCCCATTCAAAAACTGTACTTCCACTTTTCCTCTTTTTTGCCATAAATCCCATTTCCCTTCCTTCCTTTCCCCTCCCTCATTTCTTGTTTCCCTTCCCGTTTGAACATATTCTTCCTATTTTCTAATATCTATCCTCCACGTTGATCTTTATTTATACTTTAGATCTCTTACACAAAAGAAACAATGTGACATTTAAACTTGCATGTTTGATTTATTTCACTTAAGATTATGGTCTTGAGGTACATCCACTTACCAAAAAATGCCTCAAGTTTATCCTTCTTTATGACAGAGTAGTACTCCATTGTATATAATGGAGTATACTCACATTTTCTTAATTCATTTGTTGATGGGCATATGGGCTGTTTCCAAGATCTAGGTATTATAAATTGTACTGCTCTGCACATGTGTATGCATGTATTACTGTGGTATGACAACTTTAAAAATTATAATTAGCAACACATATTAATTGCATCAATTAATGGTTTTCAATATGACACAGAAATTGTTCAAAGAAAAAGTGTAGCTTCTTCTGTCTTTCCCTGTGGTCTGAGCTTGGGAAGCAGCAGCAGCAGCAGCAGCAGCAGCAGCAGCAGCAGCAGCAGCAGCAGCAGTAGTAGCTGTCTTTCAGGGTTAGGAACTGATCCTTTGAAGGGAGTAAGATGGGGTGCTGCTTTTGATGAGGACTTGAACCAGGCACAGGGCGGGAAGGGGCTGCAACTGAAGCGAGAGGGGAGCCTTGGGGAGTCCGTAGCCAGGGTGTGCTCCAGGCAGTTGCCACCTCTGCTTGGCTCAGGCATGTGCCGGTGCCAGGGGGATAGAAGGGAAACTTTCAGGGGGACCTCAGGGTCACACTGCACTCATGCCATGCAGAATCTCACCAAGGCATTCATACTCCTTTGGAATTTGTCTCTGGGTTTAGCTGGTTCTTAAGGTCCCTCTGGGTGGTTACATGCTGGGATCCTGAGAACCCATGATGGTTTGCTGCAGTGACAATGAGGGAAGGATTACACATGAAGGGTCAGGGGATTTAGGAGGTGACAGGAAACAAATATGTAAGGCAAAATAGAAGACACAGAACCCTGAGGGCAATGATGGTACCACACTCCATGGACAGTAGGTAGAGCTCATTGTGTGGGTTTTCTCAGTGTTTCCCAAACCTTATTCCTGCACCAACTTTATGATTCCCGTCACTGTCAGTGAGGACACTGAACAACCTGCTGGCATTTGCAGAATTACCCATTGGCTAAGCTGCAAGAGGAGCAGGCTTTGCAACCCCCAGTCTCCGAGACAAGTGCTCCTCCCCCACTAGTACCAGCTTCACCTTGGCCACGGGAAGTTGCTGCTTGCTGGAAACTGCGAGATGAACATGAGTCCCCGGCCTTGTCCCCCTCTCATCCAGGCCTTCGCCACTGTGGCCACCTTGAATCCCCTATGCCTGTCTGTGTTCTTCATGCATTTTGCAGTCAAAGGCCTCCCAAATTCCAAGTCTGCAGTCGAGCGGTTCAAGGTCAGGGGTCAGACTGGCTGCATGGCCGCCTTAGCTACTTTCCTGGTTGCTGAGATGTGATGCTCAACCCCCTTGACTTACGGAGGGGAGGTTTATGTTGCCTCACGGTTTCAAGGGTTTCAATTCTTGCATGGTCAGTTGCCTCCCAAGCAGCAACCACATAGGGGAAGGGCCTGGGTGGAGGAGAGCTGCTCGTGTCGTGGAGGCCAGACACAGACAGATAGGAGGAGCCTGGCTGGGACCCCTTTCCAGGTCACCTCTGCTGTGACCAGCCCCACCTCCCAAAGAGCACACCTAGTACATTCTCCATGTGTCCTCACGATCCACCATTCAAAGTCCCAACCCTGAGCACATGACATTTTGGGGAACAGTCTGTCCAAACCACAGCAACAGGCTTCAGCCCTCTGCTCTTCCTGGAAGAGCACCCTGCCGGAGGAGACAGGGGCTACCTGGGTAGACAGGCATTAGCAATCATGGTGACCGCCATGCCCACTGGTGTGGAGGCTGGAAAGAAGGGTAACTCTCACGAAGTCCCAGTCCCCAAGGAGATCTTATGCTATGGTATCCAAACCAGGCCTCAGGTAACTGACCTGCCCCTTTGTCCAAGATCACATAAGGTTACCCTGATAGTTTTCTTTCAAAAAATATGATTCTTGAATTTAAAAACTAGATATTTGAGTAGTCTTGAATAATTGCAGTATCTGACAGCTGTCATACATTCCCATGAGGCCAGAGGCAGCTGGTGCTGAGGACAGTCTGGCTAGACGGAGTGTTCGGATGCAGTGTGTCACATGCTCCGCCACACACAGTGATGCCCCTACATCAGGGTTGCATTTGCTTACTGTTTGTCACCTTAGAAATGGGAAACTTGCTTACAAAGTTGGTCTTGCCCCAACGGGGGTTACAAAACCATAATGTAAATCAGTATTTAAAAAGACATTTCATGGGCACCCCACTTTTAAATGCACACAGTCCCTTACCTGTGTCATTCATTCACTTAGATTCATTAGCCCCTACCATGTGCTAAGGAGACTACAACACGCCAAGTCGATGACCAAAGGGAACTATTCCGATCACATGCTGCTGTGGAGCCAGTAAGCGAGTGGGAAGTCCCTGTGCATGTATTGTCAACAGGCTGCTCAGGGAAGGCCCTCTGCTAAGATGACTTTTTTTTTGTGGTACTGGGGATCGAATCCAGGGAGGACTGATCTACACCCCCATCCCTTTTTATTTCGAGACGGTCTCATGAAGTTGTCCAGGGTGACCTCGAACTAGTGATTTGCCTGCTGCAGTCTCCCAAGTAGCTGGGATTACAGGTGTGTGCCACTGTGCCTGGCCCGGGTGATTTTTGACCTAGGTTGTGGGGACTAGACAGAGGGAACAGTGAGTGTAAAGGTTGTGCGGCTGAATGAATTAGGTTTGTCTGGGTATCAGAAAGATTATCCTTTATTGTCAACAGCCCCAGGAGCTCCTCTGCCTCCCAGCAGCTGCGTGAGGACCCCTGCCATGCCTGCCTCCTCGTGGGTGCCCTGAGTCATCCTGTGACCTCCCATCTGTGCCTGCCTTTGCCTGTGGGGTGGGCAGACATGCAGAAGCTATAATCTGAGCCCACCCCAATGCCCATAAGTATCCTTCTGGATCTTTCTAAGCTAATCTCCAGGTAAATGTGTGTGATCATAACTCGGTTCCATTGGGGTTGTAGCTCCCACCCACCTTTCTTAATGCTAGGATTCATGTAGTGCAACCCTTGAATTTCTAAGCAGGGAGCTGCAGACAAGGAGAGAAGTAACCTGCCAGTGGTCACATTTGCAACTGTATAACACAACATTCCCCACAGGAAGTACATGGGAAGACCTTTTTAGTTTTTATGGTGATAGATAAGATTTGTTTAGAAAGTCTACACATCGATCCCACGAGTTAGTTCTTGGGACTAGTTGGTCCTTGGTCACCAGACACAGCCCCAAGACTGTGCTGATAGTGTGGCTCAGTGCCCTGCAGTTTTAAAATCACCATCTAGATTTTCCACTTGTGGACACTGACCTTCTGCTTGGTGGGGATCCTTCAGACCTTTATTCTTGTTAGAAGTTCCCTAAGCCATCTCAGGTGGCCAGGGAACTGGGTACATATTCCTGCTGAGCTGAATAACGGAATCCTCCTTTTCTTTTTGTCTTTACAGAGACTTGTCCTCCAGGGGAGCCCTGCTTCCCAGGTCCAAGTGCTGTGGGACCCCAGCAATATGCTAATTTTGGAAGAGGCCACATTGTCATGGCAACAGACCTGCTGTGGGGTTGTGAGTGGGGCTCTGGAGCTGGAGAGGGATGCACACACTTCTGAGGGGGTGGCCAGGGCCAGCGGACAAAGTGGGGAGGCTGGGCCTAGGTTGTACAAGATCAACCCTTGTGCAGGTGGTGTGGGCAGTGGTGCCAGACTTTCGGGTCAGAGGCTAGCACCTTGGTCAACCCCCAGCTGCTTCCTTGAGTTGAAATTGCCCTCACTAGGAGCTCCCTTTACAGTACAAGCTTTGGGGGCTCAGGGTGTAGCTCAGTGGTAAAGTGTGTGCTTAGCTTGCAAGGGGCCTTGAGTTCAATCCTCCGTGACTTCCCTCCACCCAAAACACATTTTTCCATGCAGGGCAAATACTGGAAGTCTTTCCTACTTTAGTGTGAATTAATCAATCACTTAAATTTGGAGGAAAATATCAAGACTCAGAATAATATGAAAGTACTGTGTGCTGGTCCTTGGAGGGAACAAGGACATGGAAAACAGAGGGGAGGGGGAAGAAACTACGGTCAGGTCTTCAAACGAGATCCCCACCCCCCCACTGCCTGACAAGAAGAGAAAAACTCCCCAGGCAGATCTGTCACTCCCACATGCAGGTGCACAGCGTTAACAGGAAGCTACCAGCTTCCCCATGCGGCTCAACCTATAGAGAGCTGATCCTGTGAAAAACCACAAAAGACGTGCTGTGCCTGCCAGAACACCCCTGTACCCAACACCACCCTATCAGCCAGCTCCAAATCCCCTGCTCATTACCCCTCAGTAATGCCTCCTCCTCTGCCTCAACTCCCTTATAAAACATGCTGTTGCCCCTTGCTCAGGGCCAACAGTCTTTTTGCCCTTGACCCAGTCTGCAATAAACCCTTGCACATTGATTAAACCCTGTCTGCCTCAGTGGGCTCAAGTGTGCCATGGTTTATCCTAACAACTACCATCTGTTAGGTTCTTTGGGGGTGCCAGGAGCCAGCCTGCATGCTGTCACTTTGTTTATTCTGTGAACTCCCCATCTCAGGCTCCTTCTCTGCCCTGCTTTAGGAGGGTCAGTGTCCCACTCTCTTCTCTCCTCCCCTCTGGTCTTCTCTGCCATGTACTAATGTAGATACTAATATCAGTCATAGTAGATGTACAATAGATGTAGATGTCGATCTATGCCCAGTCTTAGATAGAATACCTGCAACTGACATTAACGTCCAATGAACACGTTGGAATATCTACTATCTGTCTATTGACACCTTCTCCCTGTGTGAGCCTCTTTAGGTCCACACCTTAAACTCTACCTCTGCTATTATCTTCAACTTTGAAGTCTTCTCTTTGCTTCAGACCAACTGCAAAGACAGCTGCCTTTAAGTGTCCACCAAGAGTTTCAAAAGAGACAGGGGATGCTTTCCACCAGGTCCCAGCTCTGCCTCCTCCTGGAGGTGGGCTCCCTCCCGCTTCCAGCACGGTCAGGACTTGGGAGTCCAGTGTCCCTTCCCCTCCTCCCACCCATCTGACCAGCAGGCCTCCAGCTCCTCTCTGGTTTCTCTCTCATGCCCAGTACCTTCTCCCCATGGCCCCTGCCCTGCCCCAGTCCCGGCCATCACCCTGCTGCCTCCAGACCTCCTTGTCTGCCTCTCTGCCTTCACTGCTGTCCTCCTAGGATCTGCCCATGAAGTAGACAGACTTTCTAAAACACAAATCAACTCAAGTCCCTCTCCTGCTCCAACTCAGTGCCTCAATGTCCTTAGGGAAAGCCCAGGTTTATAACCTGAGCTGCCTTTGAACTCATCTCCCATTCACTTACTCCATTCCAGCTCCACTAGGCTTTTCACAGCCTTTTGGCAACCACACCTGCCCTGGCCTCAGGACCTTTGCACCTCCCATTCCCACACCCTGCAATACTCCTGCTCCAAATCTTCCTGTGTCTGGCTTTTTGGTTATTCAGGTAGAAGCCATAACAGCACCTGCTCTAAAGAAATCTTCCCTGGACAACGACACTGGCCTTAGCCCCCAATTATCTGTCTTAGTAGCTGGTTTCATTTTACATAGCACATCGCTTACTGACCTCTGGTTTCACTGACTGGTCTGTCTCTCCCCTCACCCACCAGTGGGAAAGTTGTTCACTACTTGGAACAGGAGAAACTCAAATGAATACTTGATGGATGGATGAATGGATGAAAGAATGAATGTGTGTGTGTGAATTCTGAGGCTGGCTTCTATATTCCCATTTTACAGATGAAGAAAATGAGGCTTAGGGAGCCTAAGTGACTCCCATCCCCAGATCATAGAGTAAAGTAGGTGCCAACCTGGGGTTCTGGCTTCTTGCCACCTCTCTGCGAGTTCCCTCTGCTTCTCTTGTTTACTAAATTTCCATTCTCTACAGCTGCCTACCTCTTCCCTGGATAGAACTCCCTGAGCCCACTTGAGCTTTGTGCACTGCAGAGCTTGGAGACATCTGTGCATGCGGTTATTTTGTTTCCTGCGAATGATTTTGTGTTCACACAGTGGCAGGATTATGTCGTCTCGATGTTTGTCTGTCCTGCCACTTGTCTGTCCTCTGGCTTTGCAGGGGACAGTGTTAGGGACCTGCAGCCCCATGGGAGTGGCAAGAGCAGTCTCCTGTGGGCCATCCTGGGAGAGGTGAGTGACCATGACTGCGTGCTTTCCCCACTGGAGCCCCCCTGCTCCCAAGCGAGCGCCCCGGGAGGTGCGGTGGCACGCTTCTCCTCCCTGCTGAGCAGATTGGCTTGCTGAGCACAGAGCTGCCTGGAGGCGGGCTGTGGGGCCTCTTCTCGCTGGCACTTTCTCCTGCGTGAGGCAGCACTCAGGTGGGGAAGCCGCCTCCTGTTTTCTGGGATGATACAGTTTATTGTTCATACCGTAGTCATTCTGTGAGGCTGAAAACTCATTCCGCTGAGGCGTGGGACACATGTCTCTTGTGGGCGGCACTGGGAGCTACTCGGGAGGAGAAAGAGGGAGGAGGAGGGGTGGGTAAGATGGGACTAAGATGGGACTGGGCTTGTGCCCAGCTGCGCACTCTGTGTGCCAGCTGGGTGTCTTGCCTCAAGATGGGAGCCCACAGTTCCCTGCCACAGACAGATTTGAGGTCACTGGAGGCCACGCAGCCATGTGGGCCAACATAGGTCTTCTTTGCCTTCCCCAAACACCCAAACCTATTTTCCCAGGTCATAGCAGATGATGGTAAATGCCTACAGCACCTGGAGGGCGCTTCCAGCCACCAGCCCCACCCAAGTCCCAGCCTCACACCTCCATCTCCCTCTCTTCCCCTTTCTTTGCCCATCACCCCTTTCCATGCTGTCCAGAGAACTAACAATTCTTCCTCCTTATCTGCCTCTTCCTTCCCTTCTTCCCTCAAATGTCTCCTTGTAGCCAAACTCTGCTCCTTGGAAGGGGGAGCAGGGGTGCTGACGCCTCAGCCTGGCAGCTTGTTTCTCTGTGCTCCAGAGGAGACAGTCTTTTCCCCATGCCTTTGCAACTGGGGAGAGAAGGACTCCATTAAAAAATAACATAGTAGTAAAAGTAGTTTAAGAACCTACCTGCCCAAGGATGTCCAAAGAGCTGTTCATATTTTTCCTTCAACCCTGACCATCCCATGAGGAAGGCGCCTTGCTGTGGTCCATTTACTGAGATTAAGACATTTTTCTCCACTGTCTTGGTCACTTTTGCATCTGGTACAAAGTACCTGACACCCACAATTTAAGGAAGAGAGGTTTATTCTGGCTCACGGCTTCAGTGGGCTCAGTCCATGGTCAGGTGGCTGCAGAGCAGAATGGCATGGCAGAGGAAAGCTGCTTGTATTGTGGTGGCCAGAAAGCAGAGAGAGGGGAGGAGCCTGGGAAAGGAACAGACCCTTCCAAGTCACCCCCCAGTGACCCACCCCTTCCTACCAGGCCCCAGTCAACATTAGACTTTTGGGGGACATTTTAGATCTAAACCATCTTTGAAATACTTTATCATGGTGTCCAAAATAAGGACATTTTCCTACCTAGCCACAATAACATTGTCAGGCTTGACAACAATGATCCCATAATGTGCAGGTGTGATCAGAGTTGGTCTGGAACTTTCTGTCTGTACTGTGAAGACCAGGAAGGTGCTGCTTGTTAGGGAATGTGTGTGGGGGACTAACAGACAAAGTGTGGGTGTCTTCCATATGGACCTGCATTCAGTCAATGAAGAAGGCTTGGCATGGCCCCGATGACTTGGACATGTTCTCATGGCTGTTCCCTTGAACTCACTGCTGGCCTTGGCATGGCCACAATGACAGTTTCTTTTGTGCAGTGGAGGCAGTAGGGCCTGTTCCCTGGCTGCCCTGGTGCTGGGGCTGGACCCTGCCTGCTGCAGACGTACCTGCTCAAGAGCTTGGTGGGGGTGTATGCAAGCCTGGCCTATGTCTCCATCCCCCGGTAGGCCTGGGTCACCAGGGGCAGTATTAGGGAGAGCATCCTCGTAGAGGACCAGTATGACAAGGGGCAGTGAGCTTCTACAGGGGCAGGGAGTGTGGTACACCTTGTGGCTGGTTGGGGGCAGAGTTCTCCGCTAATGGTAGTTAGATAGCGTCTAGGATATGTGAGTTCATTAAAGACACCACTAGATCCTCCTCACCATGGAAGAAATATAATCACACTCATTTCCTAGATGAGTCAGCTGAGGCCCCAAGTCTCACAGATGGTAGGATACAACAGAGCCGGGATTTGAAACGTAACATTTAACTGTGAGGCCATTCTGCCTCTATATAGACCACACACCCTCTTCTGCCTGCACCCTCACAATAAATCTTCATTTGTATTAAATCCTGGCCCCAGTGCCAAAAGGAAAGCAAATGGGGGCCATGAGGTTATGCAATGGAGAGAAACAAGTTCGGGGTCCACGTCCCAGGACTCCAGTTTCTGTCAGTGCCTCCAGCTTGCCTCTGTGGTTCCCCCACCCCATATCTGGGGTTGACCTCGGGGACAGGCATCGGGAGGATCCAGGAAAATGGTCTGAGGGCTGCAACGGTGCTCCTGCCACTCTGACACCTTCCTCCAGAAAGAGCACCGCGGGACAGAGCTGTGCAGGGATCTGACTTGGCTGTCACCATCTGGTTGTCCTGTGGGCACCTCAGTGACCTCTCCAGTGCTGACTCATGAGCATCCTGCTTGCCCAGAGCCTAGTTCTCCTCCCAAGTTGCCAAATTCTGTTTAAGGGCATCACCCGGACTTCACACCCCAGCTAGCCTGGTGCCTCCACCCTCTGACCCCTTCCACCTGTGATGAGCAGCAGCTAGGATGAGTCTGCCTCCTCAGAACGCCTCTCTCTTGTATTTCTCTCTTCCCATCTCCCCTGCCAGCACCAGTCCATGGTCTCTTGTTTGAATGGCTCTCACTGCCCCTGCCCTGGGGTCCCTGACCAGCTCCCCGCTCTGTTTGCCTTGTCTGCTCTGCCCAGGGAAGTCACCCTGAAACAGCTCTCTCTCATACTGCTGTTGCTCTGCTTTAGCATGGATGCCCCTCCTACAGCAGTTTAGAAATATCTGCCAAAAGTAAAAATGCACCAAGCCTTCTGATTCAGCAGATGTACTGCTGGGTATTTAACATGTAGATATTTTCACACACAAACACAATGATCCACACACAAGAATGGGCTGCAGCGTTCATAGGAGCAAAACCCTAGAAACAACCCAAGTGCCCATCACTGGAATGCTGGGACTCATGGTACAGTCCATAGCAGAATACTAAGATGGGGACAGAACACACAAATCTACATATGCCACACAAATACACATCTGAATATTATTTCAAATTTTTTCATACACAAATGCACATTATTTCTGAGTAAATATATAACACACTCTAATCATGGTTGCTTCTGAGGAAAGCAGTCGGAAGTCAAGGATACGCCTGGAGGGAGACTTGCCTTTTACTACGTCTTTCTGTTCTGTTCAGATATTTGCTGAGTGCTTGCAGGAACTTAAAAGAAATCAAAGAAAGAAAAAAATAAAAAGCCTCCAGTATTACTATTAAACACAAGACCAAGGCCAAGTTTCTTAGCATGTAATTTAGGACTTGGGCTTTGAAACTTGGGAAGGTCCTTGGCGGCTTGCAGTGGGGTGACCTGTGCCTCACTGTGCAGGGACCTCCGGGTGCTCATTGCTGCTCCCTGAATCATGACCTGGAAGCACTGCTCTCTGGAGAAGGGGCAGAGGTGAGCAGAGGCGCAGGTCTCCAGCTCTCTTGGGACATCGGTGGTCTGTGCTCTGGTGCTTCCCTGGCCGGTAGAGTAGGAGCTCCAGCTCTTCCTTCTAGGAACAGCCAAGCTTTCCCTGTTGCCCTTGCTTCAAGGCCAAGAACAAAGACCCCCGCCCCAGGAGCTTGGGGCTCATCCCACCCTCAGAGCTGGAGATGGAGGCCTCCTTAGCCCACAGTGGTGGAGAGCTGGTCTCTGATTTCTCCTTCTGGAGCAAGGGTGACACATACCCCTTGAAGAGGAGAAACCTCTGCCTGTCTCCTGCCCTGTCCACCTCTGGCCAGTGCCTCCTCTGCCAGTGGGAATGTCAGCCAGAGCTCCACAGAAGGGTCTGATTCTGCCTGTCACTTTTTTCTGATAATTTAGTATTTACAGCGACTGACCGCTCCCGAAAGGTGGAAGCTGATTGTGATCTGCACGGAGCCATCTGTTAACAGCTTAGTGTACTGAGCATTTACTACTCGAGTGCAGTGCTGCCCTGTCCCCGGCTGTGCCACACTAACCCTAGAAGGGCAGGCCTCCTAGCATTCTTCTTCTAAGGAGATCATAAACCCTTGAGGGCAGAGAGCCAATTCTCTTATTTAAGACGGTTCCTTCAATCAGAAGAGCAAGGTGTCATCTGTAAAACGGCATAAATCAGACCGGTGACCGTGTGGGGTTCCTTGGAGGTTTGGTAGATCAATGCATACAGAGTACTTTGAATAGTGTCGGGGTAGAGCAAGTATTAGCTATTCTAATAGCACAGTAGGCATCAACAAAGACTTGTTGAATGAATGAGTTAATGGGAGTTGGGTCTTGGCAAGGTCAAACAGCTTGCCCAAGGTCATGTGATGGTGAGCTGGATGCAGGGCAGTGACAAGGGATGGTCCTTCTCTACAGTGACCTCAGAACACAGGGACAAGCACTGAGACAGTTCCCAGGTCCTTGGAGCTTGACTGAGGGATGGGCCAGCTGGGGGCTTCCTGCACTGCTCCCTTACCCAGGGACCCACACGTTCACTCACTCCTAATACCGCAGGTGCCGTGCAAGGCGCCCTTCCCGTGACACAGCGGGAAAACCCCCTCTTTTGCTCTGTCTGTGCTGTGGTTGTACACAGTGCAAGCAGTCTCAGGTGACAGCCGGCCGAGGCCCATGGGCCTGCAGGCTGACAGGTGTGTTTAGCAGAGCGTTCAATCCTGAATCGATGTGCTGCTGTTTCTTGGGAACGAGTGATTTATTATCTAAATTGTTAGCAGTTTAACATGTTTTTCGGGAAGTTGACAGGTTTAGAAAAATGTCTGTAATAAAGTGTCTTCCTTTTATTTTTTCTGTACTGGAAATTGTACCCAGGGCTTTACACTGAGCTACATCCCCTCCTTTTCTCATTTTTATTTTTCAAATTTTGAGGTAGGGTCTCTCTTGGTTGCTAAGCCACCCAGCCTGGGCCCAATTACAGGCACGCAGCATGACACCCCACTAAGTGTTGTCAATTTTTAACTGACATCAGTTAAAAATAACTGATATCAGTTTTTTCATCTCAATGACTTTTATAGTTTTAAAAGTTAAAAATAACTGATATCAGTTTTTTCATCTCAATGACCTTTTTTTGGGTACCCGGAATCAAATTCAGGACCTCATGCTTGCCAGGCAGATGCTGCACCACTGAGCTAAATCCTGCGCCCAGTTTTTTCCTCTCTTACTAAGCCAAGTTTGAAAAATATTTTGTAAGTGCCAGGGGTGCCAAGTGTGGTCATATACTCACCTCAGTCTGTATTGGGTGAGGTCCACTTGCCACACCTGCCCACCTGCTGGTGGCCCCTGCCCTCTGGATGAGGTATCTTGTTGGCTGTCTGCAGATCAGGGCGGGCGATCCTAACCTCCTTGGGGGCAGAGGCAGAGGATCAGCCTGGCCTGCGCCATCTGCTCCAACCGTCAGCTCTACCTGCTGGATAACACCCTGCTTGCCATGGACGCTCGTGTGGGAAAGCATATCTTTGAGGAGTGCATTAAGAGGGCTCTCAGGGGGAAGACTGTCGTCCTGGTGACCCGCCAGCTGCAGGTGACTACTGCTCCGGAGCTCTGGCCAGGACTGACAGTGCACATTCTCAGTGCACTGCTGTTTCAGAGTATGATGCCCACACAGCCACATAGCAGTTGTTCCTTAGTCTGAGACCAGTGGTGACGAACCTATGGCACACGTACCGCAGAGGGCACTCAGAGCCCTTCCTGCTGGCATGCGAGCCAAGTCACTCAGCAGCTGATCATTGAATATTCAGGTTTAATTGCAGTGTTAGCACTTTGTGATAAAGAAGTGGGTTTTGGGTTGCAGTTCGGGCACTCAGTCTCTAGAAGGTTCGCCATCATTTGTCTCGGGCTTTTCTCTTCCAGTTGTGGTGTCCTAGTCCATTCGGTGTTGCTATAACCAAAGGCCTGTAGCTGTGTTATTTGTAAAGAAAAGAGGTGCAGCAGCATCAGGTTGGCTTGTTGGCGGGGGCCTCCTGCTCTGTCCTATCAGACAGGGGATGTGGGAGTATGCAAGAGACAAGGAGACCGACCCACACTGTAACAACTCATCAGCCCAGGCCCCCAAGCTCTAACTTAACTCTAGGGAATTAATTCTTAATTCCTGGTCTGGAAACAACTAACCCAGTCTCTGCACAAAGACGTCACCCCATTCGTGAGTGGGCTACCCACCATACTGGTTCCCTGAGCTAGAACGTACTGGCATCTCCAGGTGACTTAACCCAGGGATCTGTTTGCCTGGGCTGGTGTCACAGCTGGTTTTTGAGGAGTTGTCTTAAAAATGAAGACCATGTAGGCCTGAGATTTTTCAGATGAGAAGACAGAGAAGTCCAGGGATGTGTCCGAGGTTGCCCAGCAGCATGGTGACAATTCTGGAACCCATACTTTCTGGTCCCAAGTCGCTTCACTCTCTCCCTGTTTCCCTCTCAGCCAATCAAGCACTTGGGAACCCAAGCCCTCCAGGATTTACTGAATGGCTAGGGAGGGATCCCTTCTGATGTCAGAGGTTCCTTTCTGCAGAGTCTTCTTTGGGCCAGGGTCAAGCCTCAGTGCAGCCCTGCTCCACCACTCGCCACCTTTGGCAGGAAAGGAAGTTGGAGAGAGACGAAGCCAGGCAGGCTCTTGACCTTCAGGGGAGAATGGGTTGTGGGGAGCATTCTGATCTCTTCTTCCCTCGCCCAGTGCTGGAGCATCAGCTCACAAAGGAGAAGGGGATGAAGAAGGTTCCCTGAGCTGGAGCATCTACCACCGCTGCATCCAGGCTGCTGGAGGAGTGATTTTTTGGTGCCCTGCTAGGCCTGGGCGCCTGAGCCTGCACCAGGCTAGGCACATTGGAAACACAGTGGACCATTGTTTGACTCACACAAACTCAACCTTGCTTGGTCATAGCAACTCTGGCACCTTGGTCAATGCTGGAAGGGGCAGTCTTTCATGTGTGTATGTGTGTGTGTATGCGTGCGTGTGTGTGTGAGTGTGTTACTCACCTGTCCTTACTTTAGTGGTTTCCAGACTGTGTGACCTAACCCACTAGTGGTTTTGAGATCAGCTGAACTGGCCACCAGGCATGGTGGCACATGCCTGGAATCCCAGCACTCGGGAGGCTGAGGCAGGAGGATCGGGGCAAGTTCGAGACCAGCCTGGGCTACAAAGTGAGCTCAAGGCCAGCCTGAACTGCACAGCGAGACCCTGTCTCAAAAAAAAAAAAAAAAAGTTCTCAGTTGACAGGCAGCACTGAAAGAAATGAACTAGAACAGGACAGAAAAATTCAGCAAGCACTGTACATTGTAACGGCGGCAGACTTTCTATCTTATGTATACTAGGTGTGATTTAAAGGATATTTCTTAGGGCAGGAAATGGCAGTTAGAAGTTGGAAAGCTACTGTTTTATTAAATGATATACATCACTATGGACAGTGCATGTTGTAAACAGAAATCAAAGTATATGGCACTGCTTTTTGAGTAATTTGAGAGATTTTTGAGAATACTTTTGGCTCCGTGCAAACTTTTCCTCTTCGTTGAAAGCTTGCCCTTGTCTAAAGTGTGTCTCCTCTGCACCTGTGTGAAGGAGAAAGGTCAGGATTCCTGCCCCTGCCATCACAGTCTCCCTGCGGGCTGTAACACGTGGCCTTTCCTGAGTGGGGAACAGAAAATGCTGGTGAAATGCCCGGATGGATCGAGCGGACAACTGTTCTGTATGTACAAAGCACCTGCTGTGCCAGGCCACACTGGAGGGAGGAAGGAAAGGTCACCTAAGGACAAAGCCTGATGAGAACAGAGATCCCTGCCGCCAGGCATAGCCTCGTCTCATCGAAGAAGAGGTTGCCTTCGAGGAAGAGTAGAATTTGGGAAAGATACCTGGGTGTGGGGTATGGATGGGCAGCTGGGTGGACACTGGCTGGAAGGAATGTGCCTGGCTTTCTCTATCCTTGGAGTTTTGGAACCCAGCCCCACTCTCCAGCTCTGTGACTCTGGGGAAGGCACCTCCCCTCCTTAGCTTCAGTTTCCACGTCTTTTTGTCTGTTTGTGCTGCTGTAACAAGATACCCGAGACTGAGTAACTTAGAGAGAAAGAGAAATGTGTTCCTTCTAATTCTAGAGGGTGGGAAGTCCAAGATGAAGGCACCTCCAGGCGTCTGGAGAGCCTGCTGTCTGCTCCCAAGATGAAGCCTGGAGTGCTGCATCCTCTGTTCTTGGGACTGAACCAAGGGAGTACTGAGCTACATCCTCAGCCATTTTTTTTTTTTCCTGAGGTGAGGTCTCATGCCATTGCCAAGGTTGGGTTCAAACTTGTGACCCTCCTGCCTCAGCCCCTTGAGTAGCTGGGCTTGGAGGCCTGCACCACTATGCCTGGCTCTGAAGGACATGATTCCCATTCACAAGCATAGAACCCACATGACCCAGAGGCCCTACCTCTTATACCGCCATCTTGGTGGTTTGGTTTCAACATGAGAATTCTGGACGGACACACACCTTCAAAGCATAACACTCATGTAAATGAAGACAGGAATCCCTAACTCATAAATAATGTGTGTACCAAATACTGTGCTTGCCACATGGAACATAACAGTGTATGCACTGACCACAGAAAAAGTAGCTGCTATTGTTACTTAGCAAAACAAATCCTCATGGTCTGCAGAGGAGGAACTGACTTTTCCAGACCATTCATTCACATTATCTCTTGCTTGTCTTCAGCAAGGCCTGAGGATGGCGTGACTATCATCGTTTTATAGGCCATGAAGCGGGATGTTACTGACATTTGATAGCTTATCCAGGGTCACACAGTTTGGAAGTCAGACTTGAGCCTAGGTTTGAACTCAGAGCCCTCTGACTTTGAAACCCAGCTCTTCCCAGTCCTCCAAGATGGCCATGAGGGGTGGGGCCAGGGGAAGCCATGGTTCTGGGGCCCCCGATGGCTGAGCAACTCAGTCATGGTTACCTTCACCTTCCTGTGGCTCTGGGGGTTCCCTCTGTCTCCCCAGCTGCCTGACTGTCTCGGTGAGTCTGCTTGTGGTGGTGGTCATCTTCCTCATGACCTTCAACTTCTGGTGGCTGAGCTGCTGGTTGGGTCAGGGCTCAGGATGAGCACCACCATGGGGTGGGCTGTGCTTTTGTGAGCTCCTGGAAGGTGGGCACTTCTTACTCCCCGTGAGGACTAGAGCCGAGCAGGAACCCACAGGACACACCTAGAGCTGAGCTGCCACATGCACTCCAGAGGAACCATCTAGAATTCAGGACTCCGGGTTCCCCTGGCTTTGCAGAATGGGTGACTGCATGCAGTGTTATTGGGATGAGCCCAGGAGGTTCCTATCCCCAACAGAACCCATATGGATCTGCCTAGCGAGCTTTCTCTTTGCATGCCTACATGGGACTCTCTGTCCCCTTTCCACCTGTGAGGACGCTGTGCAGACACAGGATAAAGTCTGTGTCCTCCCTTGACACAAAGGAACTTGGTGCTCTGAGTGGAAGCCAAGCTCTCCTCATTTGCTTAACTCCTGAGTCATGGGTAAGAGGGTTTGGACAGGAAACAAAGCCATGCTAGGATTCAGAACTCCCACAGATTGAATACAGATAATGAGAGGCAAGAAGGGAAGTGGCTGCCAGTGATTGCGAGGCAGAAGGGAAGCAAACGATTCTCAGGGGACGGTGGCAAGCCACTGGCAAAATGCCACTTCCCTGGACTCCATGGTGCAGCCCCCTGTTCTTTCCTGAAGACCGACTGCAGCCGAGAGAGCAATAGGCCCACAGCAGACCCAGGCATCATACTGGACAATCCACAGCTGCCCTTTTATCAACTGGTGAACGGCCTCAGCGCTCTGGTCCTCGTCACTGGGGGCCTTCACCAAGGCCACTCAGGGGGCATCCACAGCCTTGGACAGCAAGCTCTTCAGTAAGGTATGGCCTGGAGCTGCACAGGCCGTGCACTGCCCCTGACCTCGCTGGACTGTGTATGTGCATTTGCATGTGCGTGTGTGTGTGTGTGTGTGTGTATGTGCATGTTTGGGTGTGCTTGTGTGTGTGGTACTGGAGGTTGAACTCAGGGCCTTCTCACTAAGCTTCATCCTCAGCCTTCTTTATCTCTTATTTTGAGACAGTTCTCCCTAAGTCACTCAGTGCCCTGGAGTAGACTCAAACTTTTGATCTTCCAGCCTCAGCTTCCCAGAGTGCTGGGATTACAGGTTTGTGTCATCAAGCCCAGCTGTCGACCTTGCCTAACTTTAAAAAAACTAGTGGGTTTTATTTCTTGGCCAGTTTTTGTTTACAGGTAAGCTGAATGGAGAGCGAGAGAATAACCACACCTTCGCCCTCCCTCACTCCCGGTTTCTCTGGTCCTTAATATCTTGCAGTGGTGTGGAGTAATCGTTAAAACTGATGAGCTGGTTCTATTACTAACTGGGCCCACAGCTGATTTACATTAAGGTGCACTCTTTGCACCTTTTATGAAATGTTTGGAAAGTGTATCATGGTGTATCCACCTTTGAATATCAGAGGACTGTCATGGTCCCAGCAATCCTCTCGCCCTGCCCTTCCCCGTCCTTCCTTCCCCAGGATCCTGGTAACCACCATCTGTCACTGCTCTTGTCTCTACAGCTCAGTCTTTGCCAGAAGCTAGCATAGGTGCCCTGGGTCCCCAGGGGAGTGGGTCTTTGGGGCTCTGCTGCTGAAAGAATATGTTTATGAGCTCAGTGTCCTTGATAGAGGTCAACAGATGCACTGATGCAGGCCTCTGTTAGCTGAGCACTATCACTTACAGAGCCTCTTGTAGTTGTCCTAGATTCCCTTTGAAGCAGGCATGATCATCCTCATTTTACATATTAGATAGTGAAAATGTTATGTGTGTTGTGGTTGCAATGTGTATTATGTGTTAGACGTGTTGTGCTATTTACACCCAATAGAGTACTGCTCTGCCATAAAGAAGAATAAACTTAAGTCATTTGTAGAAAACTGGTTGCACCTTGAGACCACAATATTAAGTGAAATCAATCAGACATACAAGCTTAAATATTGCCTGGTTTCTCTTACCCGAGAAACTCAAAACAGAAATATAGAGCAAAATAAACGTAAGAAGTAGGGAGATAGATCTTTTTCAAATGAGAAGAGGATCAGGAGAGGGAAGGAAGTGGGAGGAAGGGGAGGGAACGGGGATGAAAGAGGACCGAAGATGTGTTGTGTACATGTGCCTTCTTCACAGAGAATGTAGACACGGTGTATAGCACATACGTGCTAACAAAAGGAAGAGTTCCCTGTGGTACCTCAGCGCCTCTTGGAACCGCCATTTTCCCTCTCCCTTCTCACACATTTCTTGTGCCAGAGTCTGTGGTGCCCCTTAGGCTCACGGTGGACCATGGGCGATGCAGGCAGGGCTGGGCATCACGGGCTCATCATTTCACAGGGGCTTCTCCCCTGAAAACAGGTCAAGGGATTGCACGTGTGCATTTGCTGTTAGTGGGGCACATAGGGCCTTAGGAACAGCTTGGGGTGGTGCAAGGGGGCGGGGCAAGTGCAAGAAGGCCTTTTGGAGGGGGAGACCACTCCTCAGAGGGTGGGGTGCACTCATCCAGGTCACCATTGGGAGGCTGGCCCTGAAAAGAAGCAGAGCGTTTCTGGGGAGCAGAGTGAGGCGTGGAGTTGGAGCTCTGACATGGTTCCTTGGAGGTGAGGAGGGAACCCAGGGACCCGCACAGACTGAATGCAAAGCGTGTCACTGTTAATGTTTGGTGCCAGGGAGGGCGGAGGCCTCCCCGTCTCCCAGACAAGGCCCCTGGCTGGTGGGACCGGAAGACAGGAGGGAAATGGCACTGGAGGCCCAGCCTTGGCCACCCTGCCTGTGTGGCTGTGCTGGTGAGATGGCCTCTCAGCCCCTCCAGGGCACACTCCAGGGCTCCAGGACTGTGTTGCCCCTGGCCCAGCAGTGACGTTCGCTATCTTAATCTTCTAAACTTTCCTTCTTTATTAGTACATATTTGTCCTATATATTGATCATATTCATCACAGGGAATTTGTACCTGTACATGGTACATCTTAATTCTTTTTTCCCCATTCCCCTCCCCTCCCTCCAACCCCTCTTCCATTCCTCATTTACAGGAGCTTTCTTTCCATTTTTCCTTCCAGTCTTTGTTTTGTTAATCCCTGTTTCCTTCCTGCCCTTCCCTCTCCCCTATTCCTTCAGAGCATAGTCTTCCTACTTCCCAGTATCTGTCCTTCAGGATGCTCCTTATTTCCCTTAGGTTTCTCACACAAGAGAAACAGTGCAATATTTAACTTATGCATCCAATTTTTTTCGCTTAAGATTATAGTCACGAGATGCAACCATTTTCCTACACTATGACTTAAGTTTATCCTTCTTTATGACAGACTAGTACTCCATTATGTATAGATACTGCATTTCTTTATCCATTCATCCACTGATCGTCATAAAGGCTGTTTCCAATATTTAGCTATTATAAATTGTGCTGCAATAAGCATGGGTGTGCATATATATATCACTGTGGTATGATGCTTTTAATTATTTTAGGAAGATATCCAGAAGGGGAAAAACTGGGTCAAATGAAACCTCTTGTCCTAGTTTTTTGAGCAATCTCCTCACCAATTTCCACAGTGGTTGTAGCTGTCTGTACTCCTAACAGTGGAGAAGGGTTACTTTTTCCCCACAGCCCTACCAGCATTTGTTATTGATCGATTTCATGATGATAGCCATTCTTTCTGGGGTGAGATGGAATCTGTGTTGTTTTAATGAGCATCTCTCAAAAGACTAGTGATGCTGAACAGTTTTTCATCTACAATATTTATTTGCTGTTTGTATTTCTTCATCTGAGAAGTATATTCATTTCACATGCCCATTTTTGGATTGGGTCTTTAAATTTGGGGGATTCTGATGTTTTGGAGTTCTTTATATTTTCTACATGTTAGTCTTTTGTTGAGGAATAGCTGGCAAAATATTTTCCCATTCTGTGGATTGTCTCTTCACTCTTGGTTTTTTTACTCTGCAAAATCTTTTTAACTTGATGTGAAACAACTAGTGTTGTTTCTCAGTAATATTTCCTGTGCATTTTGGGCTTTTTTCATACAGTCTTTGCCTCCACCTATGTCTTTTAGAGTTTTACCTATTCTATCTTCCAACAGATTAAATATTTGTTTTTATATTTAGGTCTTTGATTCATTTTGATTTTAGTTTAGTGCCTGGTGACAGAAATGGGTCTAAGTTCAATTTTCAGCATGTGGATAGTCAGTTTTCCCAGCAGCATTTATTAAAGAGGCTATCTTCCTTCTAGTGAAGGTGTTTGGCCTCTTTGTCAAAGATAAAGTAGCTGAATGTCCTTCAAGTTGTTTCTGCATCTTCTAATCTGTTCCATTGATCTTCGGATCTGTACTTTTTTTCCCCAGTACCATGCTATTTTCATCACAGTAGCTTTGTAGTATAATTTCAAGTTGGGGATTGTGATACCCCTGCCTTGGCCTTTGTTGCCCAGAGTCACTTTTTATGCCAGGATTCTTCTCATTCCATATGAATTTTAGGATTCTTTCCTCTAGTTCTATGAGGCATGGTATTAGTATTTTGATTGGGATTGTGTTAAATCTGTGTAACAGTTTTGGAAGTATGACCATTTTCACTATATTCTGCCTATCCAAGAATAAGGGATATCTTTCAATTTTCTGATACCCTCTTTGATCTCCTTTTTCAGAGTACAGTAGTTTTCAATGTAAGGGTCTTTCTACTTCCTTTGTTAGATTGATTTCCAAGTGTTGAACTTTTTGGATGCTATTGTGAAAAGTGTGGTTTCCCTAATTTCTCTCTCAGGAGTTTGTTATTAGAGTACAGAAATTCTATTGATTTTTGAGTGCTGACTTTGTACCTTGTGAGGCTGCTCAATTTGGTTACTAATCAAGGAGTCTTTTGGTGGAGTTTTTGGGTTTGTCTTAGTTACTCTTCTCATTGCTGAGACAAAATACCCAACACTCAAACTTAAAGGAGGAAAGGTTCATTTAGTTCACTGTTCATAGAGGTTTCAGTCCATATTGACCATCTCCCAGGAAGGATGGCATGGCAGACAGGCATCATAGAGGAGAAACAGTTCATGGCAGGTACAAGGTGGTAAAACAAGCAAGGAAGGGATGAAACAAGCCTCTTTCTGTCCCATATATTGTATCCAGGCTACCAGGATTAGAGTGGTGCCAAACCAACCAGTGGACTGATTTAGTAATCACCCACCCTTGACCTAGCACACTTAATCCTAGCATTGCATCATGAATCAATCACATACTCTAGATTCAGCCACCTCTGAAAAATAAGAAGAATGTATATTTTGTTGTTGGATGGAACACTGTAGACATCAACTAAATCCGTTTGTCTGAAGGTTTGATTCAGTTCTGATATTTCTTTGTTGATTTTTCATGTAGTTAATCTGTCTGTTTGTGACAGTGGGGTTTGAGGTCCCCCATTACAATTGTGTTAGTGCTTATCTGATTTTTCATGCCCATTAGTGTTTGTTTATATAGTTGGGTGTGCCAGTATTTGGTGCATATATATTTATGATTATTATCTTTTTCTCTTGGATTGATCCCTTAATAATTATATAGTGACCTTCTTTGTCTCTTCTTATCAGTCTTGACTTGAAATCCACTTTGGCTACCCTGCTGGATGGAATAGCTACCCCTGCTTTTTTCTGGGTTTCTGTCACATGGAGTATTGTTTCCTATCATTTCACTGCCAATATATGAATTTCTTTTTCAGTTAAATGTGTTTAGATATAGCTTCTTGATCCATTCTGCCAATCTATTTCTTTTGATTAGTGAGTTGAAACTATTTACATTGATAGTGATAACTGATATGTATTGACTTATCCTTGTCATATTATTTTCCTGTTGTTGGTTCCCTTTCTTTTCCTTCTATTTAA